CACTGGGGGCGTCGAGTCGTCGTCTTCATCTTGGTCCCCAGACTTTTCTTCTTCGTCGGGGTCGGCTCGGCGCGAGGAGGATACGTCCGGCGCACTTGCTTCTTCTAAGCCAGCTCGGTGGCGAACGGGGCGCGATCTTCTGGCAGTGTTGTCGTCGCCACTCGGTCGGTACTTGCGCTTCCCCGCCTGCTTGAAGCTCGTTTGGCGCGGTCCATCGTTGTCGTCCAGGTCCAGCGCGTCCAAGTCCAGCACAGCATCATCGACGTCTTCATCCGAAGTATGCGTCGAAAGTCCAAAGGTCGACTCATCGAAGTTGACATCGCGACTGCCCCACCTCGATGTCATAAACTCGATACGCCTTGGACACTTCTTCGTAGCCGAGGAACAGCCCGGCGCGAGCCTTGGGGTCCCACTTGCGCCGTCTTTCCTTCGGCGTCAGGATGTACGTCTGGCATCCGAACACACGCATGTGCTTCACACTCGGCTTGGACTTGTAAACGATCTCGAACGGAGTCTTGTGTTCGATCTTGGGTGATGGCAGACGATTCTTCACGTAGATGGCTGTCATGGCCGCCTCAGCCCAGAAGCTCTTGTCCAGCTTGGCGTGATGCAGCATGCTGCGGCCAATCGTGACGATGGTCCGGATGGCGCGTTCTGCCGTGCCGTTGGTCTGGTGCGCGTACGGAACCGTGGTTTGCTGCTCGATGCCTTCGACTTCGTAGAAGGCCTTGAGCGAGTTGGTCGCGAACTCACGGGCTCCGTCGTGCCGCACAAACTTGACCTTCTTGCCGAACTGCGTCTGCACCTTCGTGACGTACATCTTGATGCAGTCCTCGCTCTCCGACTTGGCACGCAGGCAGAACCCCTTCATGCATCCGCTGGCTTCGTCCACGATCAGCAGCAGATACTTGCTGCCACCCAGTGACTCTTCTTCCATGGGGCCGCACACGTCGAAGTGGAGCAGCTCGAACGTGTCGTAGTGACGCTTGTCACAGTTGCTTGGGAACGGCTTCTGGACCATTTTCCCTTGCTGGCAGCCGCGACACACGCTTGGTCCACTCGACTTGGAAGGTGCCTTCGCGTCCTTGATCATGTTGTTGTCGACCATCTTGCGAAGCACCTCCACCGGAGCGTGACCCATACGCGCGTGTAAGTCGACCATCTTTCCACTGGTCGCCGCATTCGCCGATCGCTGAGGCGTCTGGAGCCAGTAGAGTCCATCCACGAGGTTTGCCGTCGCCACCACTTGCTTGGAGCCCTTGTGCGCAATCTGCATCTTGGTGCTGTCGAACACGACTTGGAACAGACCACTCTTGTTGATCTGTGGCACCGAAAGCAGATTCTTGCTCATGCTTGGGACGTACAGCGCGTTCTTGATCTCGATGTCGCGCTCGTCGCCGTTGGGCAGAACCACTCGTTCCACGATGGTCCCCACACCCATGATGGCCGCCTTGTTGCCGTCGGCCACCGAAAGTTCGCCTTCATTCCGCTCAATCAAATGAACGAACTTGGCCTTGTCGTTGCAGATGTGGTGCGTTGCGCCGCTGTCGACCGCCCACAACCCGGACACATTCTTGCCCGTCGAAATGCCACACTCCAGTGAGACCGCGAACGCCACTCGATTATAGCCGTAGTCGTAGTTGTAGCTAGCGTCGTCGTTCCTCCACTGGGCATTGTTGGCCCCGCGTCCACGGCCATTGCCATTGCCGCCGCGTCTTGGGCCCCGATTCTCGTCCTTCTGCTTGGTCCAGCACTTGTCAATCGTGTGCCCCAATTTCCCGCAGTACGTACACTGGCGAGACTCTCGGTCGGTGTTGAACGCCTTGGCCGCATTCTCCGTCTTCACCGTCGCCGTCTTCTCGCCTTGTCTCTTGATGTGCTCATTCGTCAGCACCTTCACGACGTCTTGCGATCGTAGTTCAGCGCTGCTCATCTCCAAGTTCACCACGACGTTCTCGTAGCTCTTGGGGAGGCTGCGCAACAGGCAGATCGCCACGTCCTCATCCTCCATCTTGGCGCCGATGCTGCTGAGCTTGGCGCTGATGTTGAGGACCTCGTTGCAATGATGCAAGACGTTGCCGCCTTCCGACATCTCCATGCTGAAGAGTTGGCGCTTCAGGTAGATGCGTCCAGCCTTCTGCGAATCACCGTACAGCGTCTTCAGGCGCGTCCACGCAACCCACGCTTCCTCGCAGTCGTCGACCACATGGTGGTAGTCCGCGTCCATGTGGAGCAACATCAGTCCGAACGCGATGTTGCTCGACTTGACGTAGTCGTCCTTGGCCCGCGAGTCCGTGAAGCTCGGCGTCGTCTCGCGGTTCACGACATGCCACGTCGACTTGGTCAGGAACACGCCACGCATGTAGCGGTTCCACGTCGCGTAGTTGTCCCCGTTGAACTTGTCAATGGAGACCTTGGTCGAGGCGTCTTGGGCAGAGGACATGGTGCTTGGGCTCATAACCTGATGGAAGGTATGGATCTTGGACACGAAGCTCGGACGAAGCGGAGGGAGGGACGTCGCAGACGGCGGGACCGGAGCGAAGGCACTTGAGGGGTAGAATGAAGATTCGAAAGTGATTGAATTGTTGGAGCTTACACCCTACTGTTATAGACACGCGACCCTGCGTCCTATCACCTAGTGCATCTAATCAACCATCACTCACCGGTGTTCATCCAATCATCCTACTCGTCTAATCATCGGTGGCGTAAACAACTTACCGTAATCACCATAATCAACGTGGGTTCGGATTGGACCGGTTCGGGCTAACCGGTTAATGGGTACAACTGGTACACAGTACCCAAGACCAGCAACCCTCAATAAGCACTCATTGGCTGTTTGCTGTACATTACAACGTGCACCAGACCTGATGTGGCGTACATCGTGACCCAGTTGTCGCGCTTCCTCGAGAACCCCGGGCAGCAGCACTGGAAGGCTGCCATCCGCGTGCCCAGGTACCTGAAGAGCACCCGAGACATCGGCATCGCCTACAATGGGAACGCGAAGAAGGTCGAGGTGACGGCGTACACCGACGCCGACCGGGGCAGCAATCTCGACGACCGGCGCTCGGTGTCGGGCATCATGGTGATGATTAGCGTGGCGCCAGTGGTCTTCAAGTTGAAGTACCAGCGCACGGTGGCGCTCAGATCGGCGGAGGCCGAGTACATGGCGCTGAGCCTGTGCACGCAGGAGGTGCCGTGGACCCGCGCCATGCTCAAGGGCATGGGTCACGAGCAAGTGGGAGCTACCCAAATATGGGAGGACAACCAGGGCACCAGGTGCGATCGCTCTCGCAAGCAACGCTGGCTATAACGCGAGGACCAAGCACGTGGACATCAAGCATCACTTCATCCGCGAGAATGTGTCCCGAGGACTCATCGTCGTCAACTACGTGCCGACGGAGGACCAGCTCGCGGACATGCTTACCAAGGCGTTGGGGATGAAGAGGCTCAAGCACCTGATCAGCGCAAGCGGAATCGTCGGGACGGTCGTGCAGCATTAGCGGCGAGTGGGAGTGTTCATGAGTCTTCGGGAGCGCCGCCAATAGATGCACATGGACGAGGAGAACGTGTGGACACATCCGCCGATGACTCGGAGGATCCGACGGCGACGGGAGAGCCGGCGGCAGCCGGGCTCTGGATATACCAATGGCTGGTCAGGGAGACCCAAGTATACTGAGATCAAGTCAATCGGAACCCGGGAGTAATCCGTCTGATGAGAGGCACCAACGAGCACAAGGAGAACAAGAAGGAAAGCAGGAGGGGAAGACTAGAGAGTAGTTTGAGAGACGATAACATTTAATCTCACTTCGGAATTTGCCCCCTCAACCACAAGCTAAAAAACCAACAATCATGCAGCTCCACCAGTGTTGCTAATTGCTTATTGGTTTGATGACCTGCATGGGTTAAACTGAGACTAAATTGCAACGGTCGCGAACACGCCCTTAGCCCTAAGTTTGCTTCACTACACTACAAAAAATAGTAATGGTGATTGATAAGATCAATTAGAAGGTGGGGACGTCGGCCTGAAGTGGAGACTCCACTGCAGGGTGTCGACCCCCGAAGCAACTCAACGGAGCAACGCGACTGAGATGCTCCATTACTAATATAGAGAGTATATTTCTTCTACTTTCTCAGTGAACTCTACTTTATACACGGGAGTTGCAAGCAATCCGCCAGTAAGCAGTTCGACTCGGTCGCCGACTACTTCGTGGCGCATCACCAAGGTCTGCTGCTGGTTGTGGGCCGTGTACCATCTTCTGTAGGTCGAGCTCTTCAAGGAGTGGCACTCCAACCTCAAGCAGTGCTGGCGATCTGTGTGGAGCTTGCTGGACGTGTTCACGTACCCGCTGATGCTTTGGACCATCCTGTTCAAAGTGTACGAGGGCCACGACACTAAGATTCGCCATCTTCACGATCGTGGTGTGGTTGTCCAGCGTGTACGAGCCATGGCCTCCTTTGTATCCGCGACCTGCAGACCGCCGGGCCCTTGGCCTCCAACGCGGTGAGTTCCGCCTTGAGTTCGTTAGGGTTCTCGCCGCTTTCGCCCTCCTCCGCTGGCCGCGTCGCTGTAGTGGGGGGTTACGACTAGCAAGCCTCTTCCCACTCACCGGGCATCGCACCCAGCGCGATGCTGAGCTGGCAAAACGACAGAGGAGTTAGGAAACCACTGCCGGCCGACGGATCGTGCCGAGCAGTGAGGCAGAGTACATTTTACCTACTTGAACTCAATAGACTGAGGAACTTACCAGGAAGCGCCGGCTTCCCTCGCAGAAGAGTTTCGCTCAGACCTACTACAAAGAATTCTTTAGTTGCGAGGTCTCGCGACTGAACGGAAGGACCAGGAGAAGATCAAGATGGGGTTCACGTCTAGCGACGCCGAGTGTACCCACGGCCACTCGGCCGGAGAGCGCACCGACGCTGAGGCAGGGCTGCAGATGGATACTGGGGGTGGGGCAAGTTCGACAGGCACGTCTCGTGTCCCGCAGCCAATTTTCTCTTTTGTCTTGGCGCCAAGGGTGTCTTCTATTGCTCGTAACGAGTTGGTAGAGTGGCTGAAGCTTCGCAAGGAGTACGAAGAGGCGGTGAAGGAGCGCTGCAAGGACGGCAAGGAGGACATCAAGGCGGTGCTGAAGAGCATCAAGAACTCGTTTGACGACGACTTGCTGGAGACGCTGTGTGAGGTGAATTGGGGCGTCGCGAAGGACGACCTGACTGATGAGTTTCTGCTGGAGCAGATTCACGCCATCACCGACAGCTACCAGAACCGAGCTGTTCCAGAAGGAGCTGCGCATGGATATGAACAACAAGGACATCACTGCGCGTGTGACCAACTACTTCATGTCGTGCAACACTTTGATCAAGAAGTATGGGTTCACGAGTTTCTTCGAGGAGGAGAAGGGCACGAAGAAGAAGTGCAAGCTGCTCGTGAACTCGCTGCCCGCCACGCTCAAGGATAAAGTGAAGAATGAAATTGACTACCGTTTCCCGGAAGCGCAGAGCAACGTGATGAAATTGTACAAGCTCATTTGTCAGCAGGCGCTGGAGGAAGCTATTGAGCACCGCGCGCTGGCGAGAGAAAAGAATTCGAGCCGTAAGCAGAAATTAAGGGATCAGCCTCAGCCATTTCGGAAGAACAAGCGCGTGCACACTGGGCAACAGCAAAAATCGGACAAACAGCAAAGGAAGGTGGTGCAGCCGGTTGCAGCGAGCACAGACGACAAAAACAAGAAAGGCCAAGCCGGTCCCAAAGGAGCGCCGAGGGCTGGTTGCTTCAACTGTGGAGGGCCCCACTACCTCAGTGCATGTCCCACCGCTACCAAGGAGGACCGTGAACGCCTTGCAGCCTCCAAGCAGAGCAAGAAAGGCGGCCAGCCCCCCGCGGGGAGGCACCGCTAATCTCAGGAGACTTGCAGATTGCCTGCCAGCACAAACACGCTCAATTGTGCTGGAAGACGCTTTCAAAGTGGCTTTCTGTGCTGACAGCGGCGCAGACAGGTCTGGAATGAGTATGATGGTGTATGGACAATTCGTGAAGGCGTGTCCGGAGGCGGAACAAGCTGTGAGGCTGGAGGAACCACTCACATGCAAGGGTGCTGACGGCAAGCCAATTGAAGTGAAAATGACGGTTAATTTGCATCTCAAGTTGACAACAGCGGCTGGCAGTGTACGCATCGCCAAACCAGTTGAGTGCCTGGTCATTCCTGGTGATAGCACTGAATTCCTCCTTGGCATCGATCTGTTGACCATGTTAGGGATAGATGTGCTGAGGCAGTTGGACATGCTAGTGGCTAATGCAATGCGAGGTGAACGGGATGATGAATTTGATGATGTGGACGAACCACAGGTCGGCTCAAGTGCTGGATTGAGCGACGAGGTACTGGCTGCAGTTGAGAAAATGATTGAGCGCGCTGTAGAAAAAGGTTTCCCGACAGAACTGGTGCCTGCACTCCGCAGGATTGCGACTCGATTTGACTTATGGAGATTCCGGCTAGGCGATGATCCTCCAGCCCGAGTGCCTCCGATGAAGATCCGGCTCAGGCCTGGCGCCAAACCCTATCGGTGCAAGGCCCGGAAGTACCCGCCCGAGGTCCGCAAGTTCCTGAACGAGTTTAACGATAAACTAGTCCGGTTGGGCTGGGTATATGAGAACACGGAGAGTCGGTGGGCTTGCCCCGCTCTTCCTGTGCGCAAAAGTGGTGGAGAATTTCGACAGACGTCGGACTACAAGCCGGTAAATGCAGACATTGAAGCGATTGTCGGGGTGATGCCGGATTTGCACGTTGACCTCGAAAGCGTGAAAGGAGCTCAGTTTTTCGGCTTGTTTGATTTTATTAAGGGCTATTGGCAGCTTGCACTGGCCGAGGAGTGTCAGGAGTGGCTCTCTTACATGACGCACCGCAAAGTGTACACCCCGCGCCGTGTACCACAGGGATGCACGGACGCAGCGCTGTTCTTCTAGTCGACGGTCCAGAAGTGCCTGGAGGAGCTGCTCCACAAGCACTTGCTCGTTTGGATCGACAATCTGCTCCTGTACGCGCAAGATGCCAGCACCTACCTCGTGAAGCTGGAGCGGTTGTTCGAGCTGCTCGATTTCTTCGGCTTTAAGCTGAGCCCGAAGAAGTCCAGCCTGTTCGAGCGGGAGGTTCGGTGGTGCGGCAAGCTGATTAATGGAGATGGAGTGCAGCATGACCCGGAACGCATCCGAGCGTTGCAAGCCATGCCGTACCCGCGGTCAGCAGGAGAACTGCAACAACTTTTGTGCGCTACGAATTGGATGAGAGACTCGCTTATCGACTACGCAAGAGTGGCGCGACCGCTGCAGGACACGCTGGACGACGCACTGTCGCGTGCTTCCAAGCGGACGAAGCGGGTAGCAGCAGGTGTTGCGATTGAGCTGAACGCTTCACAGCGTCAGGCTTTCGATGAAATGAAAGAGATGCTATCCAGAAGTGTGACTTTGGCTCATCCGAAGGACGGAGCGACAATGTGTGTGCTTACAGACGCCTCGGATATTGGTTGGAGTCTGCTGGTGACCCAAGTTGAGCACTGGCAACCAAAGAAGGAGGTGTCGGAGCAAGCGCACGAGATGCTTATCTGTTTGAGCGGCACGTTCACAGGATCACAGCGCAACTGGAGTATCATAGAGAAGGAAGCATATCCTATTGTGTGCGCATGTGACAAGCTGAGCTACTTGCTGCTCCGCCCGGGTGGTTTCAAGCTCTATTGCGATCATCGCAACCTGATCTACGTGTTCGCGCCAGGTCAGGAAGTGAAGAAGCACATCCGAGGCAAACTCCTGAGGTGGGCGACAAAGTTGATGGAGTATCACTACGAGATTGAACATATTGACGGGGAGGCGAACGTATGGGCGGATATGATCTCTCGGTGGGCCGGAGACCACGATCCATCTGTGCGACTGAATGTGATGAAGCTGCGTAAGCGCAGCAGGGACGAGCCTCACGCAGAAGGCAAGCGGCGGCGTAAAAGAACTCGCCGAGGCGCCAAGAAGCACGGGTTGGTGGTGGAACAGCAACAGGAAGTGCCCACCTCGCAGCAGTACATACTGAGGCCGCTGGACGACCCCGACTTTGAGTGGCCAACCTGGACGGCTATTCGGGCTGAACAATTACAGCATGCAGCCAGTCGACCGAACAATGCGACGGGCGATGATGAAAAGGGCTGGTACATTGGCGAGAAAGTCTGGATACCCGTGAAGGCCAGTGGGATTATTCAGCGGATGCTGGTTGTGGCGCACTGCGGTTCGCAGGGACACCGCGGTCGCGACGCCATGCTGACGTCCCTGAGACGGCTATTTCTCATTGACCGATTGCGTGCCCGTGTGGACACGTTCCTGTCGAACTGTCTAATGCGCAGACACGTGAAAGGAGGCAAGGTTATTCAGCGCCCGTGGGGAGAGACATATCGAAACAATACTCGCAACGGCGCGTTGCACTTCGACTTCCTACGTTTGGGGGACACTTTTGCCGGAGATCGCTATCTGTTGGTACTCAAAGATGAGGCCACCCATTTCACTGAGCTGACACCATGTGCAGACCCGACTAGCACGGTGGCAGTCGAGGCGATACTGGCGTGGCACAGCAGGTTTGGCGTTCCGCCGGTGTGGATAAGTGATCAGGGCTCCCATTTTACGAGCGAAGTCGTCGCAGAGGTGTGCAGAAGTTTGAAGGCCAGCCATGACTTCACGGTGGCATACAGTCCGTGGATAAATGGAAGTGTGGAACGTGCGAATAGGGACATCATCCAAGTCCTACGTGCTCTCTGTCTCGAGTACAAGGTGGATACGCATGACTGGACGTACTTTGTGCCGGTCCTCCAAGCAAGTCTAAACCACACACCCGTTCCATCACTAGGGAATCGGGCACCTGTGGAGCTATTCTGTGGACTACCTCCCGCGATGCCGCTGACGTTCTACATCGACATCAAGCAACGGCAAGTGGTGGAAATACCAATGCAGACGACAGCCACCACGAAGTGGCTAGAGGAATTGAGGACCGGCATTCGTGAGATGCACAAGCCCATGACGGTGGCGCGCGCACAACAGACCGTGCGAAATCAACAAATGCAAAAGCGTGCGTGTCGACCGAACTTCGACATCGGCGACTACGTGCTCAGGTCGAGGGTCGACCAGAAGTACTACGACAAACTGTTGGTCACCTGGGGGGGGGGCGTATCAGGTGGTGCGAGCTGACAAGCACTCATTCGGTGTCCGACATTTGCTGACAGGGGAGGAGATGGACGTCCACCCGTCACGGCTTAAGTTTTACGCGGACAGCTCGCTGGAGGTTACAGAGGATCTACGAGAGCACATTGGGGCACAAGGCCTGGTGCTGACGGTGTCAAAGCTGAACGGCTACCGTTGGAGCCGCGAATAGAAGGACTATGAAGTACTGGTCAGCTGGAGGGGCCTCGAACCGATCGAAGACTCGTGGGAACCGACTCAGCAGCTACGCAAGGACATTCCGGTGTTACTAAAACAGTATGCAGCGGACACAAACGACCCGAAATTCGTGCAGCACGTGAACAGAGACGGCAAGGGCAAGGCACGAAAGAAGTAATCTATAACACGGATCGTGCAACATGACAAGCTACAGAGGCCAAGAGAGTGGTCAAGGCTTGGGAGGGCAGTGTAGTGGGGGGTTACGACTAGCAAGCCTCTTCCCACTCACCGGGCATCGCACCCAGCGCGATCTGAGCTGGCAAAACGACAGAGGAGTTAGGAAACCACTGCCGGCCGACGGATCGTGCCGAGCAGTGAGGCAGAGTACATTTTACCTACTTGAACTCAATAGACTGAGGAACTTACCAGGAAGCGCCGGCTTCCCTCGCAGAAGAGTTTCGCTCAGACCTACTACAGTCGCCGCAGTCGGCGAGATGGCGGAGTGGCGCAGACAGCGCAGTAATCTTGTTCAGCAGGTCGCGCTTCTGCGATAAGGAGAACTGCGAGGTGTTGGCGCTCATCATTTCCAGGAGCTCCTTCTGCTTCCTGAGTGCTCGCTACTTCTCCTTCAACTCAGCACCTTGCGGCCCTTTTCTAATGCTGCTGAGCGCAGCTCCTCGCCCATCATATCGTGCTCGGGCAACACACTGGGTGCTTCTCCTTCTGCGCTAACACCATTCGCAAAGCCAAAGTGTCCACCGATGACGACTAAATACTACTACGTAGTAGTAGCACGAATAAAGCGGATTCACACAGAGACGTTTGCATGGTTAACCTCCTTCCTTTCGTCCTTCGTCGACAATGACCGGGTAGGATCAATTCAAAACTATAGGGGGTCAAGCGAATCAAAAAAGCTTCATTCCTTGAGTCAAGGAATGAAGCTTTTTTGATTCGGTTTGTAGTCTATCTACCCTTGCTTGACCCCCTAAGGACCTTGAGGGGATCCGCCACTTGATCACGCGTACATTACGTCTATAATAGAAGAAGAGGGCCGTGGCCAGGGCCAGCACCGTCGACATGAGCACAGCCGATACGCCGTTCATGGCCGCGCCGCGCCGCTCGAGCTCGAGTCGCCGTCCGTGCCCGACGAGGTCGGACGAGCTGTCGGCCGACGCGTCGCCCGTGCCGCCGTTCTCGCCCCGGCCCTCTCGAGCGTAGGGAACGTCCAGTCGCTGGGCGGGGTCTCGCACTCGTCCGAGGTCGAGTTGCAGACCGTGCACGTGGAGCCGTAGAGCTCGCGCTTGCGGCCGTAGTCCGATAGTAGCAGGCCGGGTTCTCGGCGGCCAGTTCGGCGGGCGTGGGCAGCGGCAGCATATGCGCGATGATGTCCGAGTCGAGGCCCGACGTCTCGATGGGGCCGTTGGTCAGCTTGTAGTAGGCCTCCACGAGCTTGGTGGCACGCTTCGAGTTTGCGTCCTCGTCCTGCGGGTTCTCCCAGAACGAGATGCCGTCGATCCACTCGCCGTCCGTCGTGGCCTCGAACTCGACGCCGCCGTTCTGGCAGAACTCCCGAGAAGTTGGCGTACGTCTCGCCCGTCGTGTTGCTCACCATGGACGTGATGCCCACGAGGTCGTCGATGAGGATGAAGCCCAGCACGCGGTAGGCGAAGGTGCAGCTGATATTGTCGGGCATGACGCCGATGTCGCACAGGCCCTGGCGGGTGCACTCGCTCGTCTTGGCGCTCCACTCCTCCAGGGGGGACGTGTTGGGGAACGAGTACCAGACGTTGTTCGGGTAGGGCGCACGCGGGCCCGTCTCCTTGGTGGTGCCGCCGATAAAGGGGCCGACCTCGGGCTCGCCGTCGCCGTTGAAGTAGTAGCAGGCCGTGGGGAAGACCTCGCCGCCCGAGCTCGTGGTGGAGCTGGGCGTGCAGCGGCCTGAGTCTATGGCCAGCATCGTGCCGTACTCGTTCTGGCTGGCCACGTCCTGGATCAGCGCGAGCGTCTCGTTCGTCTGCGCGATGGCGTACTCATACTGCAACTGGTAGCTTCGCATTTGAGACTGGCGTCACCAGAGCAGTCTTGGTAGGAAAAGGAAAGCGCCGGGATTTCCTGTTGAGCCGACCAACCCCGTGTCGTCGAAACCTAACTGAGTACCAGCTCCATCCCCGGCAACTGCAGCAGTCCAGCCAGCCAACCATGAACGCGGGCGGCAACATGGCCCAGCTCATCGCCATCCGCATCAGCCACCTGCGTCGCGTGACGGCCCATGTCCGTACCATCCTGTCCGCCGGGGATCCAGCAGCGCCGGCGAGCCTCGCGCGCGAGCAGCAGCTGCAGCTTCTCCTCGACGCGGAGCAGGCGCTCGAGGCGCTGGAGCGCATGCACCGCTCCATCGAAGCGCAGCATGCCCAGAACCAGCGCAGCATCGACGACATGGCGGCCCGCCTCGCGACGGAGATCCACCCAATGTGGGCCATGTCGCTCGCCTACGCCGAGCAGAGCGACCAGCTCCGGGGCCAGCGCCGCTCGAACAAGCGCGTGCGACCGACGTACGAGGGGGAAACGGACACGGAGTGACCGGGAGCTCAGTTTCATTTCAACTCTTGCGTCAATCAATCAATCCATGCCAACAGCGGCAACAGTTTTGCGTGTCAGTCAACGAGTTGCAGCTGCCTGTCACTTCAACGAGCGCTGTCCGGGAAGAAGTGCCCGAGTTTTGGTTCAGACTTGCTTTTAGTATTGCTCAATACTGAAAGGCAGTCACAATGTGATTGGCCCGTGAAGCTCGTCAACTGGCAACAAACGGTCGCAGCAACAGATTAGACAGACTAGAGCGACGATGGCGCAGGGCAGCGGCTACCTCAAGAAGGGCAAGAAGAGCGTCAAGAACGCGGGCTCCAAGCCCTCCAAGAAGGCCGTGAGCTACTCGCACAAGAAGTCGGCGGCCAAGTTCACCAAGAAAGGGAGTACGTCCGTCACAGAATACTGGTTGGGGTATGGTTATAGCTGGCACTCACGCCCTTGCTGCTTGTCCTTGGCCGACAGACCCCACGACGGAGATCCGGCGCGGCTGCAGCGGCATGAAGAACAACGGCAGCAAGGCCGTGACGGGCTTCATCAACCAGAACCTGGAGAACATCATGGCCAGTCGCGTGCTGCAGGCGGGCACGACGCTGGCGCTGAGCGACGTCAAGGCGCACGGCAAGGAGCGGCTCAAGGAGATCAACCAGCACGCGCGCACCAAGAAGAAGAGCCGCGTGGCGCAGAAGCTGGCGGCGCTGGAGCGGTCCATCAAGGAGCAGGAGGAGGGCGGCACCAGGCGCAAGCGCCCCACGGCCGCGGCGGTCGTCTCGCACTCCTCGTAGAGTGGGGGGGGGCTCCAAACATCGCCATGATCTACAGTATTCCGTTTATATGTGAATTTCTACTTACTCTCTCTAGATGACGACCTTGGTCTTCTTCTCTGCTGCCACGGGGACTGACGGGACGGGGGACAGGGGCGGCGTCAACAAGCCCGCGGCCGCGTCATCGTCTATCGACGCAGCGACGGCTTCCAGCGCGATGGTGGTGGCCACCTTAATTGCAGAGGGAGACATGGGCGACGGGGCCGCTGGTGTCCCTCCGGGCGCCTTCTTGCCCTTGAACGTGGTGGACTCCGGGAACAGGTGCAGCAGTAGCTCGTCCGTGATGCTGAAGAGCAGGTTCTTCACGAACACCTCGTGCTGCAGGAACTCGTGCAGCTTGAGCGCTGCGTTCGAGCAGGCCGTGTCGCCGAAGAGCGAGACCGCCTTGGACGGGAAGCTGGCCGCGATTGCCGCGAGGCACTCCTCGCGAAGGACTCGCATGTCAGGCGCAGGAAGCGGCGGCACGTAGCTGTCGCTTGGGTCGGGGAAAATGTACAGCCGCAGGTCGCCGATCCAACCCGAGAGCTTCTTTGGGTCCGTGAAGGAGAGGAACTGCCGCTCCAGCATCCGGAAGTGCGAAGCACCCAGGAAGGCCTTGATGAAAGACCGCGTCATGGAGAAAATCTGGCGACGCACCATGCCAATGCCATCGAACTCGAACACCTCACCTAGCATCGCAAACAAGCTCACCTCGATCTTCTGCAGCACGCGCATCTTGGTCTCCTTCGAGTTGGCGTCCGGCGCGATCCACCGGCCCTTCTTCCACTTGCCATTCTCCACGAGCATCCCACCAGCACTGTTCACTCCAGCACCACCTCCAGCACCGTTGCCCAGCACACCTCCAGCGGAGTTCGCTGCAGATAGAGAGGTCGGGTTGTCGCTCCCTTCCCATCCAGCCGACGTGTTGCCAGCGGCGAGCGATGTGCCGTAAGCGTTCGAAAGCAGCAGGAACTTCTGCACCACCGAGCTCTGGCACAGGGTATCGCACGCCAGCAACTGCTGCAAGAACTGCTCCAGGACGTACAGCCTCTTCTCGTACGTCATCGTAGCCGCCGCCACCGTCTTCAGTGATGGCTTAATGGTGTTCATCTCCATGTAGTCGACACCCCGCAAGTGGCACGTCTGGCACCCGACCCCGCACTTCTTCTCTTGCTTCTTAAGCTTATCCGCTAACTGCTTCTCCAGCACTTCGAAGTCGTGGAAGGTCTTTATAACACTCCAGGCGTACGCGTTGTCGTCCTTCACCTTGACCGTTATTTCGAACTTGGTGCTGCCTGCACGGCTAATGGTGGGGCTCAGAGGGCTCGAAGGGTGTCCTGGAGATGCAAGATCACCCGAGTTTCCGCCGTTACTGGTAGGAGAAGGCAAATGGTTGGGGCTACTGTTAGCACCACTGCCAGTAGTAGCACTGTTGGAGGAGCTCGAGCTGAAGGACTCAGACGACTCGCGTTCGCGCTCCTTGACCAAGAATTTGCCAACATGGGCATCGATCCGCAGCTTGTACTTCTTCACAAGACGGTCGTAACAGTTCCCGCACACGCGCGCTTTCTTGGAGGTTTCGAGAGGTGGAGGATACACCATGAACGCGTAGAAATCCAGGCACGTAGCGCACACGCGCTGATGACAGCTATGGCAAGTTCCCGCCCCGGACTTGGACACAGGAAGCATCTTCAAGCAGCGGAAGCACAGGTTCTCTTCGTCCTCGTCATCGTTCTCATACAAAGCCGCTGGATCGTCGTCCACAGAAGTCTTCGTAGATAGCCCCGAGTCTGTCGCGGTGGACTTTGTGCTCCTGTTTGAAATACCACGCCGCAGCGACGGAATGGATGCACGAGCCTTCATCAGCGCCGACGCTGTTCTGGACATTTGCTGTAAATCGTCCGCCTCGAGCAACGAGTCCCTAATGGGGCTGTCGGGCATATCTTTGTCGAAGCTCTTCGATCGTCTTCTCAACAGCGACTTCGCCGTCGTCCCCTTTTCATAATTCTTGTCTCGTTTCAACGCGTTAAATCGCTGCTTCAACTTCCTTGCTCTGCCCAGCCCATTAGGAACGGTTGACGATGCCAACGGAGACGATACACCAAATCCATTGGGAGATACAGGCGGAGTAGGAAGTGCCAAGACCGGAGGGAGCTGACATCGTCGACGAATCCATCGCCGCCTCCTGACTGAATCAAACTTCTTTTCCTTCCCGTGGAAAGTGTCCTCAAAGGTTTTTGCGTATTCCCACGCAGAATTCGGAGTTTCACTGTCCGACGACTCTCCTGCATCATTTCCAGTATTTTCGAGTGCCCAATCGTCTTCCCAGATCCACTCAGACGACGGCAGCTCCTGCCATCGCTTGTCGGTAGCTTTCACCCATCCTTTTGTGGGGACGTAGCGCTCGATCTCCCACACTCGCTCCAAGACACGGACTGGCGCACTTGGAGAGGTCGCACCTTGAGCTCGCCACTGGTTCGAGGGAGAGACTGCGAACTCTTGATCGATATCGCTTGATCTACCGAGTAGAGAAGGCACATCAAGACAAATCTTGACCTTATCAAGTTGCGCCAGAGTCACTAGCACCGATTCCATGAGTTTGCTATCGTTCAGAAGACAAAAGTCCTCGTAGAATAGCTCCGTGATGTCGCTGTGTGCATACAACTCCGTGCAGAAGAACCCTAGCAACCCCTTCTCAAGGGCCACCAGCATCCACTGAACCCCACGTGTCGAAACATGCGATTCGCTCGGACAGCAATGCGGACACTGAGACGCAACAAACCTCCAATGAGCGTTATACTGTCCCGCTCCGAGTCTGTCTCGCGAAAGATAGTCCCAGTAATACTGGTTGTCATCATCCTCTCCATCCGAATCGCTTCCTCTGTCCGTGCTCATACTGTCGCGGCGTGGGGAATCCAGATCAAGCTTCGGCATTGGTACAGAGGAGCGCCGCTTAGCAACTGGAGATAAAGGAGGAGTCGATAGCTCTTTGTGTTCAACATCGTCTTCCAAGATTGGAGCCTTCGAGTCAGGGTTGCGAAAGCCCAGCATAAAGACATCTTCCATCGCCGAAAGGAGCTCGTACAACTCTCGAGACCGCGCTGAATTCCTCATCTCAGGACACTCGTCATACAATTTCACGTAGCTCGCCACAGCCTTCTCCAAGTGCACAACAACGCGATCCCGCACCACTGCCATCTTAATAGACCCGCTTGCCGTTCTCGCGGACGCTTCTTCCTCGTCATCGCTCATAGGGATTAATAGCGGATTCAGCGAGCCCATAGTGTGAGCATTACTGCGACCTCGACTATCACCCGTGGGCGTGACTGCGCCGTCGTCAAACGAAGAAGTTGGAGAGCTGACACCAGATTCGCCTCGCTTCCATGCCTTCTGCAGAAGCTGTCCCGGCTTCCGAATCATTCGCGCTGCTGCCCCCGCATTGAGGGGAGGCGCTGAAATGGGCTCCATGCGGAAGCGCCTCTTCACTTTACCGATGGAAGTGTTTAAGCTGGTGCCGATGTTGGCCTTGGCATTCTTGAGATCATCCATGTGCGTACTGATTCGGCTACTCTCGCCAGTCATCTTGTGCGACAGCAGCCCGCCAGGGATCAAGCCACGCGGGTTCATCATTTTAGCCGCCTTGGCAACGTTCGTGTTGAGGCGATCGTCCATCATGAAAATTGACGGCATCGCTTTCTTTTCGCCAGTAGATCCACCCGAGCTGGCTGCAAATACAGCGCTACCAAACGCAAACGGATTGTTGGAGTCGGTCCAGTCCTCTCCTTCAAACACCATCTCGGCTGCACCTGCTGCAGCGGATGATACACCGCTCGCGACCGCCTCAATAAACCCTTGGAATGCTGCTTCCGCCTGTTCGCCGCTGCGTCTGCTGGCTTTGTACAAGTAACTGGAAGTGGATCGCAGTTTGTTCAGCGACAAGGTTGGCATCATTGCCACTCCGTTCCCTGACCCCGACATCGTCGGCGATATGGGTCCTGTGTCGTTTTTATCGTCGACAATCGCTTGAAGACATGCCAATACAACCTCATTGGCGTAGCGCGGCTGCGAGTACTCTGACAGGGGCTTGAGGATCTTGAACGCCACGATTTCACGCAGCAAGTTCATGGCGATGGATACGAACACGTTCGTGTCATGCTGCTGGCCGAGCTGAGGCCGCAACTGAGTTAGCAGCTGCACCGCTACATGGCGGAGGTACGCCGCCTCCGCATTCTCACCTGCACCCTTTTTACCAGTACTGCCGGCCGAAGACGTCGGGGAGTTGACTGTCGCCTGCGGTGAGGACGGGGTCCCTGTAGCCACGCAGCCAGGATGGACAAACGGCGACCTCTGCACAAACGAAGTGACGTACTCCTGTCGCTTGAGCAGATTCGCGTCGTTGTCGTCGCCTTCAAAGACACTCGGGTACTCGTCCGCCAGCTGGGCGTAGGCCTCTCGGAACCACCCCAAGTGCAGTCTCAGCAGCTCCAAGCTCTTGGCCACCATCGTAAGGGCCTGCGACGGGTCAATCTCCAGCACGCGAGACGCGACTGCACCCAGCAAGTCGGCCAGCAGGAACTTGACGTCGTTTGGGAACTCCTCGTTGGGGGAGATGGCCTGGAACCAGAAGTTGACGTAGTCCTTCACGATGAGCTGCACCAACGCCGCGATCTCGTCGCAGATCTCGGGCGGCAGGCTCCATGATGTGCGCAAGTGCGCCACAATGGGCAGTCTCTTGAGCACCCGCAGCTGGAAGCCGGCGTCAGTCATGTAGGCGCCCGACGCCGGCGGAGACAGCGCGTAGTCTCCTCCAGCGCTGCCGCTGCTCCTGGGACCGCCGCCCAGCGGGCCCACAGCGCCGCCGTGGGTGCCGCTGCCCACGCGGCTGCGGTATCTGTTGTAGTACTTGAACTTGAGCAGCGCCTGGTCCAGCAGCTCCTGCTCCTTCTGTAGTTGGTACGAGCGCAGCACCCACCAGAAGCTGCCGCTGCCCACGAGCAGCACGCCGAGCTGCAGCAGCCTCGTGGCCGTCCACCAGCAGCCGCGCAGAAGCAGCAATGCCGTCCACGAGTAGCGCGCGCCCAGCAGCAGCGCCGCCAGCGCCAGCAGCCAATGGGGCAGCCGCATCAGCGATCCAGACGAGCGTGTGCGTGTGGGGGGGAGGGAGATGGCAGTCACCGGCGCGCGCGCGGATCCCGGGAGGCTATAATAGGCGCCAGCAGAGAGCGCAGACGCAGAGGAATCCGATGGGCCCTCGCAGCATGCACTCCGACCCGCGCAGCCAGAGATCTCGGGGGAGCAGGCACGCGGCTCTCTTCTTGGGCTTTGCGCGCCGAGCCTTGACGGGGCACTGTGAAGCCAAGTCCAAGTATAGACAGGCAAAGTGAGATGGGATCACCAAAGTGTGCCCCTCATTTGGTACATTCATCTTTGATTGGTGGAAATTGGACTGTGGGTACCAAAACAGGGGTACAGTTTCATCTGTGGCTGCGAACCGCATTGAGCCCCTTCCTTCCTCTCAATATCGGACCAACCATGAGCTTCTTGCGCGGATCGAGCGCGCTCGCGGGCAGGGCGCTGCGCCAGACGTTGGCGCGCGCGTCGTCGCTGTCGACGGCCGCCACCTCCTCGGCCCCCGCCGCCGCTGCGGCCAACGTGGAGGCCGTCGCCTGGTCGCCCGAGAAGAAGCGCACGGGGCTGCTGGCCGTCAAGATCGGCATGATGCCCGTGTGGGACCACTTCGGCTACCGCCACAACTGCACGGTGCTGCAGGTGGAGGAGTGCCAGGTGACGCAGGTGAAGACGGCAGACCGCCACGGCTTCAACGCGCTGCAGCTCGGCGTGGGTCTGCGCAAGGCCAAGAACGTGAGCAAGCCCGTGCTGGGCCACCTGGCCAAGGCCGGCGTGCCGGCCAAGCGCCAGCTGCAGGAGTTCCGCGTGTCCGAGGACGCGCTGCTGCCGCTGGGCACCACGCTCTCGGCGCTGCACTTCAACGCCGGCCAGTTCGTGGACGTGTGCGGCATCAGCAAGGGCAAGGGCTTCCAGGGTGTCATGAAGCTGCACAACTTCGCGGGCCAGCCGGCCTCGCACGGTAACTCCAAGACGCAGCGCCACATGGGTTCGACCGGCCAGTGCCAGGACCCCGGCAAGGTGTTCAAGGGCAAGAAGATGCCCGGCCGCATGGGCGGCAACCGCGTCACGCGCGACAACCTGTGGATTGCCAAGATCGACGTGGAGCGCAACCTCATCTACGTCAAGGGCAGCGTGCCCGGCAACAACGGCAGCATTGTGCGCGTCACGGACGCGCGCAAGAAGAAGCCGGCATCACCGCTCCCGTACCCGACCTTCGTGCCGGCGGAGGGCGATGCTCTGCCGTCGGAGGTCATGGCGCCGCACGGCGACGTTGACCCGTACCACTACGACGAGAATTAGAGAAGGAACAGCGAGGACTGGCAAGCAGCTTGGGACTGACGACAGAGCGTCTATCGGTAGAGTGAGCCCGCGGGCTCGCGTGGGTGGACGCTCCTATGCGGAAATCGAAATTGTGTTTGCCATCTTCTTCTCTGGGATGCTGCTCTTCAAGCTGGTGAATGGTTATTGCTATTATTGTGGTGATTGTGTGTGAGCTCGTTGAAATCCAGGCCAACATCACTTCAACTGATCAATAGATGAGGCTTCGGCCACCGATCCTAATACTTGGATACTATCCGATAGCAGTCAAACGCCGGCCTGGTCAGTGCTGAACCACATGCGGGGAGAGTGTTCACCTGCATTTGGGGGGGGGGGGGGGCAGCTCCGTCTAAGTTAGCCATGAGGTAGGTGGCCGTTTTACCGATTGCTATTTGCAGGATGCAAGTCTCCGCAATGGGGTGGATAGAGGCCGAGTGATGCGGTAGGATGCCTGCTGGGAGGAGTTCTCTGGACCTGGAGCGGCGCAAGCAGGCCCTGCGTAAACGACTCGCGCTCGACTTCCAGCCGCTGAGGGATACGCTGACCAAGGGGCTCGATCTGCTTGTAGATGTACGTACAAACGTCTCCGCGGGCAGCGTAGTTGTAAATGAAGGAATGACTGACCTGGGTGTCGTGACGCAAGCCCGAGGCAGCAGTATTCTGCACTGCGACCGTGGAGGGCTTTTGCAACGCGCTCTTTGCAATAGCCATCAAGCAGCTCGCAGATGCTCCCGCGCCTCGAACAGGACCGCCAGACACCAAGATCACCGTGTTTCATCTGCAAGTGGCTCTCCGCAGCCACCCGGAGCTGGCCGAGTTGCTGCAGCGTGCAGAAAGCGCTCGGATGGCGCTGGAGTTCTTCCTGGACGACGCCACATCTCGAGCACTTTACGAGCGAAAGCTCATTGCCAGTCGTGAGGCCAAGCACCTGCTCGGGGATTCAGCGCCTCCACGATACGAGCACGAGGAGGAAGGACACAGCGGGCGGCGTGGGCGAGATGCTGAACAAGAGGAGGAGCTGATTCGGCGCCACGAACGCACGCGCTCCGAGTGGCAAAAGCGCGAGGACGACCCGTTTTCCGAGGTGGACTTCGCCATGGTGCTCAAGTGCGTGCACCCGGCCTTCACGCTTTCGTATAATGCCACGATGCTGCTGAGCGCGCTGGTGCGCGAGCTGCTGAATGAAGTCTGTGCTCGTGCAGACGTGGACGCACTGCAGCGGCGCCGTCACCCGCCCGAGCTTTTGCTCGAGGACTTGCAGGGGCCTCTGCTTGAAGTTTTTTGTGGTGTCTCGACAGGGAAAACGTCTCCGCTCGAGATCGGTTCATTGCCCGACATGGGCTCGCTACACACGCAGATCGCCAGGACTGCCATCGAGTGTCTTGCACGATATCGACTGCAGTCTCGACGTGGCAAGACGCTCACGCTGCACTTCCGCGTCTACCAACCAGGTAGCAGCTCGGCTCTCCAGCCCTTGCATGTGCTGCCGGATGTGGTGAGAGACACCCCGTTCGCGAAGCTACTAGCTCAGATTCGCACCAAGTGCCACCTCCCCGTGAGCGTGGGTCATCGAGGCGGCACTTTTAGTGACACCAAAGGGCATGGTGAGTTCATCGCCATCTATCGAGCACACCAAGTGGAACCGTCGGACACCCCCGCAGCGCTAGCCATACCGACTGGGGCAGTCGTGTACCTCGTGGCACGCAGGTGGTGGGATCTCACTCGACGGTCGGAAGCCCGACGCGGGTTATTATCATCGCAGCGGCCGCAGGATGCGCTGGTGAGGTCGCTCGTAGCAGGATCCGAGTCCAAGGTCAAGAAGGAGCTTCGTACCGCCGGTGTTGGTGTTCACCAAGTTGAGGAACCTACGCCGCTGGTGCACGCGAAGCTGGGGTTGACCGGCACCGCAAGCAATAGCTCGCTGTTATCCAAATCGAGTAGTTCAATCTGTTTGTCTAGGAGTCCGACGCGGCTCCCGGCAGCACAGGAGGAAGACAGTCTCTCGGTGTTGCTCCGCGAGCGTGCTGCGGCGAGACGGGAGAAGGAGATCAAGAAGCGGCGTGCCCTTGCAAGCAGCAGCAGCAACAACAAAAACAATCTATGCGAGGATACAGATAGCGAAGAAACTTTCGCTCGGCACCACACGAGGTCACAACCACCAGAGACCCTGGACGAGGCATGGCTCGAGTTCGAGGAGCTAGCTAAGAGCGTGCGCACAACTACGGAGCGTCTAGCGCAATGGACTCAAATTTCCAAGGCAGGGGAGGCGGAGCCGCTAAACCTCTCTTTGCAGCAGCTCCAGTCTCTTGAGGGCGAGTGGCGGGCACGGCTGCACTCGACGCAAGAGCTGGCGGGCCGAACGCGGGCGGCGCACCAGCTCGCGGCGCGGATGCTGAGCCAAGTGCGATCAGGGCGAGTCCCGTCCAAGGCAGACACGAGCAGCTCGTCCCCTCAGGACGTGTAGTTTGTAACGGAATCTACTGGTCTACTGTAAGCTGAAGCGTTGCACACCTCAGATGACAGTGGGATAAGGGCTGATTACTGCTGACGCTCGATTTCCACGCTGAAGTGCAATATGGCTCGTCTGTTGCCGTACCGTAAACTTCAATTCAACCGTGACTTTCACACAAAATATCATAAACACCATACGATCCCTGACAAACACAATAGAAGACAAAACTAGTTGGCTATGTACTGCGCAATTCAGTTATTTATACAATTTATAGCGTGTATACCAATAGCAAGCAAAAAGTCGAAATTAGAAGAGAGGAGCGCTATATCTGCACGCCGTCGATATATTTTCTAACTGCGCAACTGTGAGATAACAAGACTGCAGCATTCCATGATAAGATGCCGCTCCGAATATAATCAGCTTCTAGAATCTTTCCTTTTAACAGTGCAGCTTCGAAGTACGAGCTCAACAGCGAAACAAGGCTAAAAGAAGAAAGCTGAGAGCTTATTTTGATCGTTCAGCCCGCTGAGGTACTTAAGTATAAATATAGATAAGGCCTTGTATGATTCTTTGAATACTCTCATTTCAAAAATGGCGCGCAGATGCCATCTCTGCAGGAAGGTGTTCTCCAGCATCAGCAGCCTTCGCCGACACCTCGAGCACCGCGTCTGCCAGAAGCCTCGCCGTGCATCGTTGACGAAGGAGCAAATCAACGCCCAAGCGCGGGTGCGATATCACCAGCGAAAACACGGAGCATCTACGTCTATCCAGGTACAGGCTGCTGCCACTGTTGTTGCTACTACTGCCGATGGCGTGTCAACCACCGTCCCTATCGAAATGGCTACAGTGGAATCTATGATCAGCGATACTGCCCTCGCTGCATCGCCTCCGGCGACTCCGCCGGCAGCAACCCTCGAGTGTGCTATATGCTGCGAAGATGTAGAGGACCCAATTTCGGAGACATCGTGCCAGCATTGTTTTTGTACAACTTGTCTGCTTGAAGTGTACCAGCGTCATGGGAGTCGCGCTGTTTATCCCATGTGTCGGGCTCTCCTCAACCTGTTCAGCGCCGACATCGAGGATTCTGTCAACGAGGCACCTGTTCCAACTCGTCCGGTAGCATCTTATCCTCTACCAGCATCTTATCCGGTGCCTGATGTCGTTGACATCACCGCATCCTCGCCATCATCCCCGGAAAGTGCGCACGACTCAGACAGTGACTACATTGAGTAAATATCTCTACAAAATTATAATTTATAAAATTTTAAAGGTTTATAAGATAATCTTATGTTTTCGTCAACCCAAAAATCTTATTCGAGTAGCACCGTGACTGGCTGTGCATACTTTATCTAAGTTAGCTTTAGGTGCATCCAAATGACTAATTTCGGTGATGGAACGTGCTTACTGAAGTTAAGTCGAATACTTGGTGTCAATCTTATGCCTTTTCAATGATCGATTGTTCATACATACTTCTAATGACTTTTTGTATACAAATGTCAAGTCAGCTCGATGATCCATGGTGCATACATTGTTTAAGTGTCTAAAACCCTTAAGAGTGAGTAGATCTAATTAGAACACATATTAACGATTGCAAGCAATATGCATGTATGTATTGAATGCAGAAAACTAGTAGTGAAGTTTCACTACTGTGGGCTCATGAGCTTAAAACTCCTGCGAGAGTTCTTGGGAGCCCATAACAGTCGAGGTATGAGAGCCCAGAATCGCGCTAAGACCAGAGCATGGGCTTGATCCGGGCGAGGAGCTTGTCGTCGCACTGAAAGAGTTGCGGGCTCCGGTTGTGCTGGCATGGGATCGTGCGCGCGCGCATGCTTGAGTGGGAGCTTGAGCTTGAGTTGGAAGCCGTGGACTCGACGGACAAACGGGCACTGGCTCGCTTGGCTTCCGCAACGACGCGATCGCGTTCGCGCTTTTTGCGCTGAGCCTCAGACATCGAGACGTAACGCGTCAAAATTTGCGAGTACCGATCCTGGTCATCGGCCCGTAGAGGATGCAGCTTGGCGTGAATGTTGGTAAGTGCCACGCAGATGTTCACGATCCTGTCGAACTTTGCCTCACTCCACGTGAACGTAGTGCTCACCACGCGCCAGAGTGTCGTCATGCGGCCAAAGTAGTTCTCCACCAAAACACGATCCGATGAAACGCGCCGGTTACGACTCTCCTCGTCGTACGTCAGAGGTCCGCCACGAGGACGACGCTTCGGTATGATGGTGCGCACAGACTTTTCGAGCCCTTGATAACCCTTGTCGGCCAGAACACCCCACATGTTGCCAAACGACGTCGAGCCTTCTCCGTAGTCGTTTCGCCCAGCCTCAGCAGTCGTCTTGTGCAGCAGCCGCTTGTGCACTTCCAGATTCTTCATACAGATGGTTATATCGGACACAGATCCAGGGTAGTGCTTCGACACATGCACCGCCAAGCCTGGTGGTACCACCGCACACTCGATCTTGAAGCCGTACAACTTGTGTTTTCCTGAGAAGTAGTGTTTCTGCTCAGTGAAGCGGCCGGATGGTCGATACGCGGGTTGGAACTTGACGTCCAGTGCGTAGAGCGCGTAGGGATAGTTGGTGAACTGCTGGTTGCAGCGCTCTTGGCTTGTCATCGTGACGTTCGTAACGTTGCGCTCCATCAGCACTTCTTCCACCAAAGACCATATCTACATGCACAGACAGTGAGTCAAATATCATGCGCTCATTCTTGTCTGCACTATGACGTGTTCTTACCTTGTTGACCATCTTCTCGAACGTTGGCGGCAGCATCCGGAAGTCCGTCGCGTGTTTGAGCCAGCTGTCGTGATGCTTGAGGACTGTCAGGGACATGAAAAACGCGTCCTTAGCGCTGACCTTGTGCCGTCTGCCACGGCCAAGATTCCAGGCTGGTAGAAGCTTCTCCTCCACCTGCTCCCATAGCAGCGAGAACTCGTCTTCGGTGAAGTTCGTCATGGACTTGAGAGCGTTGGGGCCCAGGTCGTGGACGAAAGACAGCATGACAGGAGCGTCGTCTTCGACAGTCGGTTCTTGTTCTTGGTGGTCCAGATACTCGCTGAATTCATGGTGGGAGAGCGCAAGGGAGTTGGTATGCTCTTAACAGCCGCGCTAAGGTGTCGGCGACCGACGGCTGTTGGCTTGTCATGCCGTTCTGAAAATGACGACGTCTTTCCGTACGGTCAGTGACTTCGGCGCCAGATGAACGGATGGTGCTCAGAATACTAGGCGGATTGGATGGATAAGAGCTGCCGGGAAGCCTTGATTGCACAGATCGTCATGGCACCTCTTACCAACTTACGCAGTTACAGCTGTAAGCATTGTTCCGAGAGTTTTTATTCTAAATCTTACTTTCTCCGTAATGTGTGTCAGATTCGGTACACGCTGTAAATTTGCAAGACATAACGACTTTCGCAGTTTTTATACCTAAAAGTAGTTGTATCGCACATTGATTAGCTCGATCATGAATACAATGTTTTACCATCTCTTGTTCAGTTTCAGACCATTTTCGAATTCCTAGCTGTTTTTGGTTGTGGCACAGTCAGTAATATGTTACGAGGAAAAATCAATTTTAGGGGACAAAATCAAATTTAAGAGTATTTTTTTCAGTGTATCCATATATTGTAAATCGGCGGGTTTATTGACGGCAAAGTCACATACTTCGCTGTAGATACGCAATTGCCTGGCACGTCTAATGGGATCCAGCTCAGCACCATGACAGAGACGGCTCATCGGCGCATCCTGTCAGTCAGTTGCAATTTGTCGTTAGGTCTAGGTTTAAGCGTCTCACCTCCCGAAAGCTCCCTCCCTTCCCCGCTCCCCATTCAAGAACTCGGCTGGGTGGACGGCCTTCAGCGAGGCGTGGAGATCGTCGTCTGTGGCCCGCTGCCTGCGGAGCCGGAGTATCGTCGGTGGCTGCAGCGCGGGTGGGGCGCGTCGTCGGTGAACTGCAGCGCGCGGCCTGTGAGGCGGGGGTGTCGTCGGTGGCTGCAGCGCGGGCGGAGCGCGTCGTAGGTGGACTGCTGCGCGTGGACAGCAGGGCAGAAGTATCGTCGGTGGCATGTTGCGCGCGGCTGGCGCGACCAGCGCCTGGAGTTGGACTGGAGTGCGGCGTCGGTTGTCTGCTGCTCGCAGACGACGCTGCTGCCTGCCTGGACGACTGCCTGCATCACGCGATGAGCGTCATGTTGGTTGCTGCAGGATCGAGACACCATCTCGTAAGTGCAATAAGGTAATAGCTGTTGTGGACGCTTTACTCCGGGGTGTTATCTCTTCGTCGTTAACATGATGCGTTCTGTATGTGTGGTTTAGTCTGTTACTGTGTTGATAATGGCAAGCATAATGGATATGTGAGCGCTGCAAACGTGTGTTATTATCATTGCTACCTACAGACGCTGAAGCGCGTGGCCAATACTTTGCGGGCGCCCAGCGTTTTGAACTCGCTTCCTGTTTACAAGGATTTCCTCGCCAGACTCGTCCACAACGCTGCGGGACTGCTGGGCAAACAGTAAGTGACAGCAGTACCCCATTTTGAAGTGGTATTTGCAGGGACAGTATGCAGCCCGAAGATCGACCGGCCAGCCAGTGCGAGGCTGGCCCTCTACCTCCATGCGCGCGTTGTGGACGCCGAACCGGGCGGAAATCGCCATGTCCTCTCTCGCACGGTTGAGCTCCGGGACGAACGTCCTCACGGGAGGCAGTGCACGCACGTGTACCAGTTCTGGGTCGGCGTCACCAAGGAGAAAGTCGATGCTGGATCTGGTGACTACGTTTTCGCTTAGCAGGCCACGGCGACGAAGCCCATGTGTGCGGGTCTGGAGCGTCGTTGCGCAGGCAGGCGCGAGCGCGAATCGAGGCAACGCCATGGAGCGGTGGTCGCAACATGCGAGTAGCTGCGCAAGCAGCAATCCCATTTTCAGCTGGCGGTGGTGTGTGTAGTCACGCTTCAGCGTCCGGTTGAACTGCTCAACCGGGTTGGCGGTGGTGGCGTACCCAGGCGGGGTAAGAAAGCACTGCCAGTTCGCGAAGTTGCCCTCGAACCACTGGGACTTCATGTACGTGGCGAAGGCGGCGAGGTCTGCGTGCCCAGCCCACTCCTTAAGCATGGTCGCCTTCTGGTCCACGTACTCGCTCTTGCTCTGCGCGAAGTGCAAGTCGTAGACGCCCTTGTACACTAATGTAGAGAGCTCCGAGCTCAATCCGCGAGTCCTCTCGCGCAGCTTTGCCACTACGTGGTAGAAGCACATGAGGTACGTTAATGGGCAGTCCGCGAAGACACTGCGGAAGGCTGTGTGTTGTGCCTTGTCTGCGTCTCCAAGAACGAATTTCACCTGCCACTCGGCGCCGTTGACCCGAGCATACACGCGGCGCAACGCAACGAGCGCGGCTTCAAAGTGCTCGTACTGGAGCTGCGACGTGATGAAGAGCGCCACCAGGTGGAAGGCTCTGGTGGCGTCGGTGATGCCGCAGACAAGCACCGGGTAACCGACGCTGTTCAGTTTGAACGTAGCGTCGAGGTTCAGCATAAAGGTGCTCGCGTCCCGCGCGGCGTTGCGCAGGAGTGCCTTGGTGGTCATGCCGACCAAGAACGGCCGAGCATCTGAGCCGTTTCCAATCTCGGGGAGACCAGAGGTATCGTACGCATTAGTGAACGTAAAGGCGTCGTGGTCCGCACCGCCTCCACAATCGTCTTGCGCTTGTCGTTGCCGCCCAGCCGCGTTCGACGAAAGTGGTGCACAATGTTTTGCACTGAGCGCAGGCTGGGTAGCGCGGCAGGACGGAGACCAAACTTGCGTCCCAAAGCGTGTCGGATGCGTAGCGGCATCAGGTTTTCACGGGCCATCTCCTTGATGAAGTCGCGCTGCTGCGGCGTGATGCACGACTTGGACGGCGTTCGAGCGCGCGAATGGTGCTCGCCCAGCTCGTGCATGTCGACGGCGTCGGTCTCCTGGCAGACGTGCAGCTTCAGCCGCCACGGGCAGACCAGGTAGGGAACTGCGTCCGTGCAGTGCTTGCAGGCGCAGCGCAGCGCCTTGTAGCGCATAGAGTGCGGAGTGCCGCTGCTGCAAGCCGCGCACGACATTAGCTGGCTCTTGACAGTCTTCCACGTTTTCATTCCTTGGAGAAGGAGAGCGGCGTCTTCAGCCGAAACACCGCTGCAGAGCAGGTTCCAGGCGTACGGGCGGGGCATTGTCGAGAAGCGAGTGGGGGGGGGGGGTCTAGGCGAGAAGGCACTTGTTTGAAAGTAGAGAGAGTTTGAAGCAGCAAGGTCTCGGACAGTCGCGACCAGTCAAGTTGTACTTTAGGCCACGGAGCGCGTGATGTGATTGGGTAAAATCTTTAAAATAGAGGTATACGATTGGATGAATACTTTCGGTTGTGTTGGTGCGCACTAAGGGATGATTGCTTATAAATTCTTGTGGTCCCCTGTGATTTTGTGATGGCTGTGAATGTTCTGATGTGGTGAAAACACGTGGTATTGTGCTTGTCAGCGTGCATGGTGTTTTTCAGGCATTTGTGGTGGTTTTGGAACCTTGTCTGACTTTCACGCTTGCAAATCTGCCAACTTCGGAGTCCGATTCGCCACTGGCATTGTATCGCAGCTCGCCGCGGTGGCGGTCTTCTCCATGGCATGGAGAGGCCTCGGCACAGTCGCTCCTTGATCGAAGGATAGGCCAGCCAGCGCTGCTGCGCGCGAGGAAACTGTAGCTCTGCAGGGAAATAATTGCCGCGGCACCAATGCTCCGAGCGCGGTCGGCGTGCTTGGCGCCGTGCTGCAGCTAGCTACAGTACCCAGCAATATTAGCCAGCCAGCCAGCTGCGACGCAGCGAGCGACATGCGCTCGCGCGGGGGCGGGGCGTCGTAACGCAGTTGTAGTAGAAGAGATTTTATTTGGACTACTATGATAGCCATTAAAATCCTGAAGAAGATTTCATCATCACCACTAATGGCGATTCTCTTGGTAGCTGCATGCTGCTTACCCGTACTTGTCCTGGTTGTTCAAGGATTAATAGAAAACTGTCGATACAGTCCTCCATCAACTTGCCTTGTTCAACTGTTTGTGGACTCATCTTGTCCCTCCTTGCTATTGCCTTCAACTGACGAACTCCCGTCACCCGGAACTCGACGCAACTTTGCTCTACCGATGTTGGTTCTCCTTTAAAGATGAGCCTGTTGCGCACCATCCATTGCGTTGTGCTGCAAACGGTAGCTAAAATTCTCCAAAGACGTTTCAATGTGTCTTCATGCTTGGCCGTGCAAGACCCCGCCGTGAGGGCCACTCTCCTCTTCAGTGAGTCCGGAATCGGGGGAGCTTGCCGTGCTGCACAGTACTCTCGGTACCCGAGGAGGCCACTGTCGGTCACGTCAGCGCCACCCCAGTGTCTAGCTAGCCATTTCCAGCATGCCACCGCGCACGGACATTCCCAGAAAATGTGACTCTGGGTTTCCTTTTCTTGGGTACACGCGCTTGTTTTCCTGCATGAATTGCTGTGTTGTCTCCCTTCAAAGAACATGTTTAGCTGTCTGAGGGCCATTCTGTACACCGTCCACACTTGGTAGGGAGTTAGGGAATGGTCATGGCTCCATAACTGCTTGGGTCGTTGTTGCTGAAGCCCACGTTGCCACTGGTCTTGTTTCGCCTGCGTCTCCAGTCTCTCTATGACCACGCCAATACCGCCTCGCAATTCTGTCCGAAATCGTTCGAAGGCTTGTCGTTTGAGCCCCTTTGATACATGTTTGTTCTTGATTCTCTCCTCCACAGTCCAAGGATACTGATGAAGGCTCGGATGTGCGTAAAATACTACGCCTTCAACTTGGGCCCACTTCTGTAAAGTCTGCGTAGTTTCTTCTGTGCAATTCTCCACTTCTATCTCCCAGTTGATGCCGTTGGGTAGTTGCCTGCAATTGAGTTGCCAGCTCGCCGTGCCTTGTGAGGTTGCTGCGCCAGAGAGATGCCCCGTTGGCCCTAGTCGCCACGACACATTGCGTAGCCATTGCGGCGGGTGCCTTAATTTGAATGGTGGATCGAGCCGACCTTCTAGCCAATCTCTCGGAGATAGTAAGATTACTATAATCCCCCACTTGCACATGGTTCTGTGACGGTGCCGACGCCCTTCATTTGATTCCTGCGCGACGCTAAACGAAAACGCCCCTCAGCTTCTTTTCGAGGTTCAAGTTGATCGAGAGTACCATCCCTTATCCGTGAAAATCTTCTCCCGCTTAACAGAAATCCAGATGGTGCTGTCAACCATGGGTTATCACTCCAACCAAAGGTCCCCCCAAAAAATTTAATGTGCTCCGGCCACGCTAGCCGCGAGGGCTCTACCTCATAATTCAGCTGAATCACGAACCTGCCATCAGTATCCCACCAACTAGTGCTCGCCTCTAGGATTGTTGCGTAATTGGTCTCCACTATTTCTTCTCGTTGCTTTACTTCTTCGTCCGCTGGCTGGAGCCATTCACTGATGAGCTGCATTCCTGGCTCTACTCTCTGATTTTTTGCATTTGACGTTCTTGGCGAGACCGACTTGTTCGGGGCCTTGAGTACCCAGAACTTCCAGGCTTGCAGGTAAAGACCGGGTTTTTGAGTCAGCCATAGCAATGCATGTTTCGCTTGCTGTGTTTTCACCGCTAACGGGATAGACACCAAACCGATTCCTCCTGCCTTTCTTGGTAGAAACACTAACCCAGGGTTAATCTTGTGTTTTCCTCCACTCGTTTCCACGTGCGCTTGCCAAAGAAATTTTTTCTGAAGGCACTGAAGTTTTTTCTCCGCCCACTTTGGTGTTGGAACGCTGCAGAAGTGAAAGTCACGGCTGGCAGCACCATCGCATTTAGTATTGCCACTCTGTCTTCTACCGAGGTAGCTACCCTGCACACGGTGGCCAAACGTCTTTGTATTTTGCGAATTCGATCTGCCCAATTCACATCACGCATCTCCGCAGTCCCTACTTGATACCCCAGACACCGGGTCGTCTCTCCATGTCTGAGAACTGGGATACCCAAAATCGTTTTTCTGTACTCGACGGCGGTGTTCAAACTTATAAACACGCTTTTCGCCGGCTGCACTCGGAGCCCCGATAACTCACCAAACCTTCGGACTACCTTGAGCACACGCGGCAGTTGCTTTGCCTTTTGCATAAAAACCGTCGAGTCGTCGACAAACGCAGAGAACTAGTGCTCGCGCCGCTCCTTGTCACCCGGCACTGCTACACCCGCAATTTGCGATTCTTGTGCCAGCGCTAGCCCAAGGATCTCAGCAGCTAAAATGAAAAGCAAAGGTGCCAGCGGGCACCCCTGCCTGATACCAGATTCTATCGGGCTCTGATCCGATAGCTCTCCATTGACCATAAATCTAGCTGTTGTCCCAGCGTGTAGGTTCCGCATCACTTCCACAAATTCACTACAAAAGCCGAACTTGCTTAATACTGCAAACATGAATTCACGATCGAGCGTATCGTAGGCCTTCTTGAAGTCCAGCAGTAATATGCCGGCGCTGTCTTCTAAGTCTGCTAATGGGTCCGCCACCGCACTTTTTAAGTGAGCTAACATCATCATTACCGTCTTGTTCATATTCCTCCCATGTACAAAGCCTTGTTGCGAGTCTCCAATTAATCGCCCTAGAAACATTTGTAGTCTTGTTGCCAACACCTTAGCCACAATCTTGTAGCTGGTTTGCAATAGAGTTATCGGCCGGTAATCCATAGCGCTCGTCGAGTCACCCTTTTTCCTCAACGGAATTATCAGACCCCTCAAAAAAGTCTGAGGTGGGCGCTCGCCTCGAAGGATCGAATTCCCTACTCTCGTCAGGATCGGCGCCATTACATCTTCCATATCCTTGTAAAAGTCGTTGTTCAGTCCATCTGGTCCTGCCGCTTTTTCTCTATTCAGCGCTCTGATAGCCTCCACGACTTCGTGTTCGTCCATGTTAGTAGTAAGCGCCGCGTTGTCCTTGTCGGTAACTCGTCTCTCGGATGGTACCGTGGCGAACTCATCTAGTCTGCGTTTTAGATCATCTAACGGGACCGTACGGTGGCTCCGTCCTTGGATGTCATTCCACTCTTGAGCAAACTTGTCTGCTATGGTGGACTTGGGTGCGAACTCAGTCCCAGGAGATGGTAGTATGCTGCTAACCGTTTGGTCACGTTCCCACACAGACACCCGGCGAAACCTCCTTCGTACACTGGCATGCGACCGTTGTAGTGCGTGCCCTGTGTTGAGTTCCTTGCTTACTTTCGCCTCCTCAACGTTTGCTGCGATCAGACCTCGCCGCGTTGCAATGCCTGCTCGCTCTCTACGTTTCCTGGCCTTTGCTCTCCAGTATCGTCGCTGTTTCAGTCTTTTGGATAATCGTTTTATCGTTTTCACGCATTGATGTACGACTTCACTTGGTGCTCCTTTCCTGGTCGGCACCCAAATCCTCAACCATTTCCGCTCGCAACTCGGTTTTCACTCGTTCCTGGTTGCTGCTTCGGATGGGGTATTTTACCCTGCGAGATGCGGTTTTGTTGACCTTGTTAACGACGTCTCCGCGCCTCAAATGCATGATCAGTGTTTGGTGATCACTACTGACCGGCGGAAGTTGGACTTCTAACCATTGAAACCTTGGAACTAACTGCGCTGAAATGTACATTCGGTCAATTCGACTCGCTGCCGTCGTAGTCCAGTACGTGTAGTGGTGATGTGGAGCCACCTCTGCATCTTCCTCTGCTCCCCCTACCAGCACACGTGCATCCTGCCACAACCTCTCGTCGAGCAACTGTTCCAGCTCTCTGCTTTCAGGTTTAGTAGCTCCTGTGTACCCTTTTCTATCTAGCTGAGGATCCAATACACAATTGAAATCCCCACCCATGATCACAGGTTTGTTTTGCGGCCATGGCCACTCCCGTAGATTTTTGAAGAAGCGCTCTCGCTCTTGATACTTGTTTGGGGCATAGATATTGACTACGATACAGCCTTGTACTTCTAATGCCATCGCTCGCTTTGTCCATTTGTGTCGTTGCCATGGCTCAGACTGCTTTGCTACTGCCGGATCCAACAAGATTCCAACCCCTCCTGTCTTATTCGCGTGTTGACTCCAGTAGGACAGCTTATCTGCTGGTCGTCGCAGTCCCCACATTCGATTCCAATGCTGTCGCTGCTTTTTAGCATCCTCATCCGACGCAACATGGGTTTCCTGCAGTAACCAAACACTCGGTCTTGATCTACTTGGAGTCTGTTTCCATGCTGAATACCACTTTTTCCTTGTTTTGCTGGCGAACCCTCTCACATTCTGACTCGCGTACCGTATTCCATCATACGCTCTTCCCTCCTCGGTCTTTTTGGACGGATCATAGAATGCGCCATCCAAGATGGCTGCTCTCCCATATACATCCTCTGCTGCTCCTGGCCAGCGCTCCTCAGCTGGCTCGACAGGAAATACTACTTTGGATCTAATAGGATTGACTGTCATCGCCTTCAATCTGCGCTACAGCATTCACGAAAAAGTCGCTCACTTGAGCCCAGTTAACTTCCTGGTGAGAACCGCTGAGCGCTGTATGGTAGTCCGTATTTTTCTGCAACACTTTTAGGTGAAGCCTCACCTTAGCTGGTGTGCTAACATCGTGTGAGACCTCTATGCCTGTCAACGCACGTTCTTCTTCTGCATACATCTCCGCGCAGAGCAGATGAATTGCTCCCACTGTGCGGAGACTAGGGTCACACAAGTGCAATAGTTCATCTGCTCCGTACTTTAAGGACCGTAGCTTCTCCCAGTCGTCTTTGCTGTTCACCACTGCGGCCATGTCCTCTTCAGTGTCAGCTGCATTCCATCGACCACTCCACTTCTCGAGCCACCTTTTCGTTTCTTGCGTTCGTGATTTTACCGCTACTGACATCAGGCCGTCCACAATGCATTCACGTCGCCTTGGCTCCATCCACGTGGACAGGGTCTCTGCATTCAGCAATTGCAGCACTTCCTCTCTAAAGGGGAAATGGCGCAAAGCTTCTAACAAGGCCTCGGGGGCTTCAGTGGCTGCTTTGAACCACACATCACTCGAGCCGTCCGCTCGTGGAAAGCTCCCCGCCCTGGTAGGCCATGTCTGCTCAAATGCGTTCCACTGATCTACCCATGGAGGCCGATTGTCAGCCTCTACTTCTGCTCGTGCTGTTGCAACTCCTGTTTCTGGTTTTCCACGCTTATATGGCAACCGCCGCGTTGTGATGGTTAATCGTAGCTCCTCTCACCCGCACTTTGACGTTCGGCGTTGAAACATGCTCGCGTTTGTATGGATCCGCTTGCTTTCTTCGTATGGAACTAAACTCCGCGGTACGTCGTTTGATCCATCAGGCGCTACGTATTCATCTTCTGACGGCGAATCTTCATCAGAAATGAACTCCGCCACGAGTGAACGTTGAACCCCGTCCTCCTTTTCTTCTGCAGTCTCATCAATCTCCATGTCCTGACCACTGAGTTCTTGTGGATTCTGCAGCGGAATCCCGTGGTGTACGTACGCTGAATAATGCTCTTTTGTATACTTCAGCACGATAGGCATCGGCATTTCATCCTCTATTGCCTTCTTCTTGGCCTCGACAAGCAGTTGGATGCACCCCCTTATCTCCAGTCTGTATTGCAGACCTTTGACGAAGGACTCTTTGGCTTTTGTCCTGGTTCCAAAGGTGTACTTCGTGCACTGCCATCCTTTCTGCCCCATTGCGTCCTTGCCTAAGACGAATATATCTCGCTGAAGTAGGTTCGCTGCTACCATGAGAGTGTCACTGCACCCCCAATTTTTCCGCGGCACCATCGCCAGCGTTGCTTCCACATTCGAAGTAGTGGATGCGTACTCATCTAGGTACTGCCGGAACAGCTTGAGTGAGTTTGGTCTTGACATAGTGGGAAATCCTCTGCCCACTTCGGTTAGCGCCTCTCGCCGTGCTTGGTGCGGGAATTGTTTTTCCAGGTTCGTTAGAGCCATTACGCGAATTCCTCTTTTCAGCGTCGCAACCATTTCTTCTAGATGCGTTGGATACGCATGAAGATCATCATCCACTAGTGCTTGCGCTAGAGCTGTTGCCTGACAGTTTCCATTCATCATGGTCTTCACTAGTCGGATGCCTGCACACTGCTCTACCTCCTCCCACGTGTCTGGTTCCGACGCCTTTGGTGATGGCTTGTGAAAGTCCAGACGAGCACTAGGCTCCGTTTTCACCTGCCCCCCTAAGGCCTCCAAAGCATCTCGTTCGCGTTTGAGCTCTGCCATCAAAATTCCTGGAGCTGCTATTTTTCTTGTGATTCTACTTCGTTGTTGTGATCACGGCTCTGCTGCTTCTCATCCAGGCGACTTTTGCTTTCTTTCGTCTTTATTGGATCTTCATCATCCACGACAGGCTCCCCCCCATCCCTTGAAGCTGATGTCATTGTTTTGCTGGCATTTCTTGTCTGAATCACTACTTTTGGTACTCTCGTTGGCGGAATTCTGATCCTTGCTCCTGCCGATTCACTTACCCGGTACGTTGGTCCTTGTGAGTCTCGAACCCCATTTGCCATGGAAGCCTCACTCTCCTTCTTTTCATCACGTTTCTTCTGCTGCTGTCGCTGTAGTCGTGCTTCGGCATCTTGGCGGATGTCTTCCATGCTCGAGAACGGCTTAGCCAGATCCTCGAGCCCAGTGAGCCCCGCTTCTGTTACCGTTTTGGTGCCTTTTGCCATCTTCTCTTCCTCCTGCTCATTGCAGTGTAACATTCTATGACCTTGTCCTCCGCAGTTACGACAGAGAAGTCTTAGCGGCGTTCTCGGATGTTGCACAATGAGATTGTGTCCGAACCAGTGGATGCGCACTATTCCTTCCAGGAATATTGGGCATCCTGCCAACTGAAATTGCAGTTGCCATACTGACGACAGATGAGCTTTCGGGTTGCACTGATCTAGCGGCTCCATCGAGAAATCCATCGGAATGTGCTTGCGTAAATACGCTTTTAGTTTCCCAATCTCGACAAACCTCGTCACATTGTGTAGGCGAATTTCGTACACGTTTGGACGCACTCCGGCGATTCCGTTCGAGCTGCGCTGATTCTCCCATGCGTTTCTCGAAGCCTCGGCATGCACATTTCGCAAGCCGTACACTTTTCCGCGGAAAGGAATGGGCACACTAGTCATTGACGCTGCTGTCGCCCTCGTGAAGAAATAAAAGTGAATTTCCTTCTTCACTCTGTTGTAGCTCACGGTTTTCAGGGCGTTTACGAAGTTGTACAGACTTTGAGTTGCCCCTGGTTCCGCTGCTCTTAAAATTGCTTCCACGATGGCCTTCGTGCTCTGCTGTGACGCATGGAGTTTATCACGCCCTCCCAACCGCAGCGTGAGTTCTCCTTCCACTTGAGCCTGAACTGTTCCATACAGTCGAAGACGCGTGTCTTCATCTAGCACATGCTTCACGAATGGTGGTAACTCTCGGCATGCAATATGCCCTTCAAGCATACCTTTAATGATCGTCCATTCATCCTGCGTTCCTGCTCTCAACTGACCCTGACTTCCTTGCTCACTCCGTCGCAGGCACAGCGACTCGAGTCTTTTGATGTCGTCTTGGGCATACACCGACGGATTGAACGTGAAGGGTTTGAAGTCCACTCGATGCTGCCCCTGCGGTGTGTTCTCGTGCACTCTAGAACCCTTGACTACTTGAGACCACTTGTCTAGTACTGGTGCTGGGGTCCATCTGAGCTGACTCGTGGTTTGGACGAGTATGTCCGACAGCATTCTGGGTTCCGCATACAATTTCTTGCAGATGATAGCTACTCTACGTTGCCAATCTGCATACTGCATCGGCTCCTTCTCCTGCGCGACAGCTATGAACTCCAGCAAATCTGTGACCTCTGCGTCGGTTAGGTTGGGGTATCGTTGTTTCTGCTGCGGCACAAGGTGCGATCGAATTGGCAGTCTGTCGTGCTCAATGTTGAACAATGTTTTCACCGTGCTCTTCCATTCCACTAAGTAGGTCCCCTTAGGGTGCGCTTTCAGAGCTGAAACTAAAGCTGTCCAAATCTCTTCCGTCGGAATCCCAGTCTTACCCTCTTCTGGCTTGTCTTCTTCAGCAGATCCCGCTTGGCTGGCCTCCTCACCCGCTTCACCATGCTGGTTCTCCTGCGTGTCCCTCCTATCTTGACTCTGCTCGTCGTCCCCACTTACAGAAGCAGCTTCATCGTCACTCTCACTTCTATATCGTGGCTCTTCATTTTTCTCGGCGTTCTCACACTCTCCTTGTTCTGATGACGCACTTGTTTGCTGTTCCCGGCCATTGGGCTCTCCTTCTCTGGCGTTTTGACCGCTTTCTTCCGTTATTTCGCGTTCGAGGTGCCGTTCATGGTCATCAGCTGTCGTCTTCTCTTCTCGCTGCCCACCTCGGTCGTCCACCATCGATCTTGGACCTCCATCCTCGCCACTCCTTCTGGGGTCCGGATGGAGAGGCGGAGGCATTGCTCCTTGCCTCAGTTGACTTGGTTTCAGTATACTTCTCCAAGGTGAAACCCCTGCACTTGTGTCACTCTCGATCCCTCCAGCCTGTGCTCAGCTATTCGGGGCGTGCGCTAAAATCGAAAGTGAGTCGTAACGCAGTTACCTGCCTTCCGGGCACACATTAGACGTGCCAGGCTATTGCGTATCTACAGCGAAGTATGTGACTTTGCCGCCAATAAACCCGCCGATTTACAATATATGGATACACTGAAAAAAATACTCTTAAATTTGATTTTGTCCCCTAAAATTGATTTTTCCTCGTAACATATTACTGACTGTGCCACAACCAAAAACAGCTAGGAATTCGAAAATGGTCTGAAACTGAACAAGAGATGGTAAAACATTGTATTCATGATCGAGCTAATCAATGTGCGATACAACTACTTTTAGGTATAAAAACTGCGAAAGTCGTTATGTCTTGCAAATTTACAGCGTGTACCGAATCTGACACACATTACGGAGAAAGTAAGATTTAGAATAAAAACTCTCGGAACAATGCTTACAGCTGTAACTGCGTAAGTGGAGTAGGTGGTGGTAAGAGGTGCCATGACGATCTGTGCAATCAAGGCTTCCCGGCAGCTCTTATCCATCCAATCCGCCTAGTATTCTGAGCACCATCCGTTCATCTGGCGCCGAAGTCACTGACCGTACGGAAAGACGTCGTCATTTTCAGAACGGCATGACAAGCCAACAGCCGTCGGTCGCCGACACCTTAGCGCGGCTGTTAAGAGCATACCAACTCCCTTGCGCTCTCCCACCATGAATTCAGCGAGTATCTGGACCACCAAGAACAAGAACCGACTGTCGAAGACGACGCTCCTGTCATGCTGTCTTTCGTCCACGACCTGGGCCCCAACGCTCTCAAGTCCATGACGAACTTCACCGAAGACGAGTTCTCGCTGCTATGGGAGCAGGTGGAGGAGAAGCTTCTACCAGCCTGGAATCTTGGCCGTGGCAGACGGCACAAGGTCAGCGCTAAGGACGCGTTTTTCATGTCCCTGACAGTCCTCAAGCATCACGACAGCTGGCTCAAACACGCGACGGACTTCCGGATGCTGCCGCCAACGTTCGAGAAGATGGTCAACAAGGTAAGAACACGTCATAGTGCAGACAAGAATGAGCGCATGATATTTGACTCACTGTCTGTGCATGTAGATATGGTCTTTGGTGGAAGAAGTGCTGATGGAGCGCAACGTTACGAACGTCACGATGACAAGCCAAGAGCGCTGCAACCAGCAGTTCACCAACTATCCCTACGCGCTCTACGCACTGGACGTCAAGTTCCAACCCGCGTATCGACCATCCGGCCGCTTCACTGAGCAGAAACACTACTTCTCAGGAAAACACAAGTTGTACGGCTTCAAGATCGAGTGTGCGGTGGTACCACCAGGCTTGGCGGTGCATGTGTCGAAGCACTACCCTGGATCTGTGTCCGATATAACCATCTGTATGAAGAATCTGGAAGTGCACAAGCGGCTGCTGCACAAGACGACTGCTGAGGCTGGGCGAAACGACTACGGAGAAGGCTCGACGTCGTTTGGCAACATGTGGGGTGTTCTGGCCGACAAGGGTTATCAAGGGCTCGAAAAGTCTGTGCGCACCATCATACCGAAGCGTCGTCCTCGTGGCGGACCTCTGACGTACGACGAGGAGAGTCGTAACCGGCGCGTTTCATCGGATCGTGTTTTGGTGGAGAACTACTTTGGCCGCATGACGACACTCTGGCGCGTGGTGAGCACTACGTTCACGTGGAGTGAGGCAAAGTTCGACAGGATCGTGAACATCTGCGTGGCACTTACCAACATTCACGCCAAGCTGCATCCTCTACAGGCCGATGACCAGGATCGGTACTCGCAAATTTTGACGCGTTACGTCTCGATGTCTGAGGCTCAGCGCAAAAAGCGCGAACGCGATCGCGTCGTTGCGGAAGCCAAGCGAGCCAGTGCCCGTTCGTCCGTCGAGTCCACGGCTTCCAACTCAAGCTCAAGCTCCCACTCAAGCATGCGTGCGCGCACGATCCCATGCCAGCACAACCGGAGCCCGCAACTCTTTCAGTGCGACGACAAGCTCCTCGCCCGGATCAAGCCCATGCTCTGGTCTTAGCGCGATTCTGGGCTCTCATACCTCGACTGTTATGGGCTCCCAAGAACTCTCGCAGGAGTTTTAAGCTCATGAGCCCACAGTAGTGAAACTTCACTACTAGTTTTCTGCATTCAATACATACATGCATATTGCTTGCAATCGTTAATATGTGTTCTAATTAGATCTACTCACTCTTAAGGGTTTTAGACACTTAAACAATGTATGCACCATGGATCATCGAGCTGACTTGACATTTGTATACAAAAAGTCATTAGAAGTATGTATGAACAATCGATCATTGAAAAGGCATAAGATTGACACCAAGTATTCGACTTAACTTCAGTAAGCACGTTCCATCACCGAAATTAGTCATTTGGATGCACCTAAAGCTAACTTAGATAAAGTATGCACAGCCAGTCACGGTGCTACTCGAATAAGATTTTTGGGTTGACGAAAACATAAGATTATCTTATAAACCTTTTACATTTTATAAATTATAATTTTGTAGAGATATTTACTCAATGTAGTCACTGTCTGAGTCGTGCGCACTTTCCGGGGGTGATGGCGAGGATGCGGTGATGTCAACGACATCAGGCACCGGATAAGATGCTGGTAGAGGATAAGATGCTACCGGACGAGTTGGAACAGGTGCCTCGTTGACAGAATCCTCGATGTCGGCGCTGAACAGGTTGAGGAGAGCCCGACACATGGGATAAACAGCGCGACTCCCATGACGCTGGTACACTTCAAGCAGACAAGTTGTACAAAAACAATGCTGGCACGATGTCTCCGAAATTGGGTCCTCTACATCATCGCAGCATATAGCACACTCGAGGGTTGCTGCCGGCGGAGTCGCCGGAGGCGATGCAGCGAGGGCAGTATCGCTGATCATAGATTCCACTGTAGCCATTTCGATAGGGACGGTGGTTGACACGCCATCGGCAGTAGTAGCAACAACAGTGGCAGCAGCCTGTACCTGGATAGACGTAGATGCTCCGTGTTTTTGCTGGTGATATCGCACCCGCGCTTGGGCGTTGATTTGCTCCTTCGTCAACGATGCACGGCGAGGCTTCTGGCAGACGCGGTGCTCGAGGTGTCGGCGAAGGCTGCTGATGCTGGAGAACACCTTCCTGCAGAGATGGCATCTGCGCGCCATTTTTGAAATGAGAGTATTCAAAGAATCATACAAGGCCTTATCTATATTTGTACTTAAGTACCTCAGCGGACTGAACGATCAAAATAAGCTCTCAGCTTTCTTCTTTTAGCCTTGTTTCGCTGTTGAGCTCGTACTTCGAAGCTGCACTGTTAAAAGGAAAGATTCTAGAAGCTGATTATATTCGGAGCGGCATCTTATCATGGAATGCTGCAGTCTTGTTATCTCACAGTTGCGCAGTTAGAAAATATATCGACGGCGTGCAGATATAGCGCTCCTCTCTTCTAATTTCGACTTTTTGCTTGCTATTGGTATACACGCTATAAATTGTATAAATAACTGAATTGCGCAGTACATAGCCAGCTAGTTAAGTCTTCTATTATCTGCTGCGAAACATAGTGTCAGTTACATTGACACTCGCTCGTCGCGCCCAGAAACGGTCGCGCCCCGTCTCTCGTCAGTCATGGCTTAGTCGAAGCTGAAAACACGGGCTCGTCTGCGCGCCTCGTCGTTGCGCCGTTGCGGACGGTTGAAGCGATCGTGGCGGGTAAGATCGTGCACTAAAAAAATTGGCCGGCTGGCGGCGGTCAAAGCTGCGGGTCAAGGCCGTTGCGCGCCGAGGATGTACTGTACACGTGCGTATGGCGTATGCATGTGCATCACGAGTGCTGTGCGTGCCGGCCATCGCATCTGGCCAGCACCGGCAGCAGCAGCCAGGTGCTTTGAGCGTCCTTCGTTCCCGGGGCATATCTGCTGGCTGCAATCGCGATCCGGGCGGGTGTAACGCCCCCGAGGGATGGGCGCCAGAAGTGAGTGAGAACACCGTTCGCATAAGGCCGCCGAAGTCTCCGCTGCTGCTGCTGCTCGCAGCCATAGGATATGAGGCCGAGCCTGTCGTCGTCGGCCGCCTGATCCATTCCTTCGAGGAGGAGGAGGAGGAGGATTCACCTCGGTCTCGCGTCCAGCGGCCAGCCCAGCCCAGCCGCCCGGCTTTCGAGCTGCCCTGGGATTCGCAGGAGCGATGCTCGATCTGCCGCGCTGCCGAGCGAGCGAGCATGGGATCGGGCCGCGACTTCTTGCCCCGCTGCTACGTATTGTATCTCACGGCCGGCCTGACATACGCCCTCGGCAGATTCGCCGCCGCCGCCGCTGTTCTGGTCGGTGGCGGGCGGGCCCTGACACTACGGTTGCAGCAGGCCTTCCCTTTTCGCAGATGTGCCGAGGGCGGCGAAAACCCTCATCTGCTGGGATAGGGCGGCCCCCCTTCCATTTGATGACACACACACGCGCGCACCCCTTCGCGAGAGTGGCACCTGGCGGATCGCACGTCGAGTGATGGGCCCGCGGCCTGGCTGCGCGCCTTCGATTTGGAATGGATCCACTCGCTGGCGCGGACGAGAGCCGGGCGCCGACAATAGAAACACCCGGAACGGCCGAAACCGATTGCAAGCGCAATCCGGGCGCCACGTTTCACCAGGCCTGTCTGAGTTGAGCCCGCCCCGTTTCAGCGCCTGGTGCGACAGCCAGCCTGCACAGACCGCGGCGCCGGCCATCACCCCACGCCAGCCAGCCGTTGCCCGGCTCCGCACCGAGCCCTTCTCTGCCTGCGAGGAGTTCCCCCGAAAGCAGCGGCCAGATTTGTCCAACGTCGCTTTGAAGAAGAGAGCAGAAGCGCAGCAGCAGGATCTGGACGCGTGCGACCAGAAGAGCCACCGCACCCAGGCGGCGCCAGCAAGCATGACGACACCCAAACACGCACCTCCACTGTAACGGGCGCATGCATGCCAACCCAGCTCACATTCCGATTCGCACCGTGGCCAGCAGCATCCAAGCCGCGCACGCGCACAGACCACCCACCACCACCCTCAGCCACAGAGACCATGCCCTCGCCCGTAGCTAGCAGCAGCAGCGTCTCCGCCCCGCAGTCGCCCCTGTCGGTGCAGCGCCCCGCGCTGTCGCCGCGCAAGCGCAAGCTCAGCGACGCCTCCGTGGCCGAGGCCGCGTCCCCCACGTCGCTCGACGAGGTCGCCGGCTCGCCGCTCGAGGAGCGCGTGATCTCCCCCAAGAAGAAGGCCCGCGCCGAGGAGCGCGCCAGCAGCAGCAGCGACCTGAGCAAGTGGGAGAGCCACGTGGTGGCCAGCATCGCCAGCGCGCTGGACCTGGACTGCATCGACGACAAGCAGAGCAGCAGGAGCAGTAGCAGCAACATCAAGCCCATTGCGTTCTCGGCCGCGCCCGCGGGCGACCTGGCCGCGGACGAGCTGCAGATCCTGCGCCACTTCTTGGCATGAGCGCGTCCGTCCGTACCCGGTGAAGCTACCTTGACAAGCAAGAGTGCAAGCATGCAAGCTCACGCGCAGCTTCCCGTTGCCGCTCGCCAACAGGCAGGTAGGCAGGCCTCAAGAACCACCACGGCCGCCCGGCCATCCAGCCAACAAGCTGTTAATGCAACAGCAGCAACAGCAGCAGCGGCGACGGCGGTGACAGCACCAACTCGGGTCGCCGCACCGACCTCTGCCGATAGACGCAGCGGCGGCAGACCCCGGCAGTGCCGCCAACGAACAGTACAATAGCCGAGGATAGTATAGAGGCGTAACAGTCTTCCTACTACGTAGTATTTAACACGCGACGAGCATTTTCGCATCTTGACATTGTTCGGTGTTTCTTGCTTGCCGGTAACTGTTTCTTGTATTTTTAGCTTGCATCTCATGCTGGTCTTTGATTCTTCGCAGCAGCTTGAGCTTCCTGCGAGAAGCCCGCCCACACAAGGCAGAGGATCGCATTGGACTGCAGCTGTGCTGGGCTGTCGCTCGCGAGCATCCGGGTGAGACCCGCACCTCGCCCATCGCGTGCACCCATCGCTCGCTTGCGGCTCGCAACTTGCATGTCAAACGGCGACAGGCACTTCAGTGCAATACAGGTGCACAGGTACTTTTACGGCGGCCGCGGCGTCGTGACACTTCAACCTCCCGTCGATCACCCGCTCCCGTCGCGGCTCCCAGCTGCTAGGCAGCGGCGCGATGGACTGCAGCGGCGAGCAATCCCATCCAGTGCGTCAGTGCGCTCGCCGCGCGCGCTCGCTCGATCACTCACTCACGCCTGCGCCCGGTCCACGCGGCCGGGCGAGCGTGCTTGCCTTTGTAGGCGACCTGCTCGCCCGCTGCCTGTCGCCCGAGCCGGTCAACGATCGATCGACTGCACGAACCGGCCGGCCGGGCCCCTCTTACTCAGAGACGCTTGCTTGCTTGTTTGCTCGTCATACGTGGCGCCACGCAGGACACCCATCGCCAAGGCGGCAGCAACGCCAGCCGCTGATACCGAGCGCAGCAACTCTGTAGCTTTCAAAAACGGTGGCGTTGGTGCTCGCTCTGTGGTGCAGGTGCTTTGCAATCTCCTTCTTTGAATCGGAGGCGGATGAGTAGAGGTTAGAAGCGGATTATTCAGCTAAGGCGCTCGGCCTTTCCTGGCTGGTATTGCACACCCAACCTCTCCGGAGCGGCCAAACTTTGGTCCGAAGGGAACGCAACATGTACTACAGACAACGACGGATAAATACGGCAACGCAAAACCCGGCACACATATGTTGTAGTTTTTACAATAAGTAATTCAGATAGCCAATCATCTTCGAGAGTTATACTTGGCATTTGTATTTCATATGGTTTTAAGTACTTACTCTAGATTTGTGCGTACTTTATGCTCTTTTACGTGTATTTTATGTCATTTCCTTGTACAATCTCTATCGTTCCCGACAGAGAATTCTGGCACATTTTACTATGGAGGATGTCATTCAGTTATGCCGGATTTATCCGTCGTTGTCTGTAGTACAGTAGCTGCGGCACTATGGCCTGCAGCGGGCCACGTGGGCGGCCACCGCCAGAACGTCCACCGGCGGATTACCAGCAAAGTTGAAGTAATAGAATGGACATTCTGATTAATGATGCTGACGCACGCGACAGGTCCACGCCACCGGGTCTTTGCGGATGATGGAGAGGAAAGAGCGGGCCGTCGGCAGGCAGGAATCAAACAAGCCTCGCGGCGACGACGGGAGCCGGCTGCTGACTTCTGACTTCAAGCAAGATAAAGTTGTCCACCACGTGTTTGTGTGTAGCCGCATGTAAGAAAAAATCTCCTGGCGGATCGCAAAGGAGTAAAGTACGATAACAACCTGCAATTTGTACAACAGCAACCACACCAAACGGGCACCAGCAACCACTTTTGTGTACAGAACCGATCCTGTACTACTCGGTTCTGTACTCAAAAGTGGTTGCTTTTCTGTGCGGTTTATTACACCGCATATCGCAAGTTCGTGTCACGGTCCACCAACACCAAAACCAATGCTGTATCCCAAAAGGACGCAGGCATTGTCTACAGGTGGCGGCGAGCTGAGCCGCGAACAGGACGGTGCCAACCACGTGCCGACATGCCTATTGACCTCTAGGAATGATTAACGTCTACTTCAAAATAACTCGCGCGAGTTAATATGAAGTCGTGGATTCAAAACAACTCGCGCGAGTTAATATGAGCAGTGGATTCAAAACTGCTCGAGTTAGTTTGATTCATAACAGCTACATGCGTCAAGCTCGAAAGTTGCTAAACGATCAGGTTGGTTAAGTGAGAAAATGGGCTTAGATATTTCAACGAAGCTGTGTGACTGGGTAAAATACCGTCAACATTCAATCCTGTAAAAACTTGCAAGAATGGTACCAACAATGCTCATTACCCCAGAGAGTGTTGGAATCGAATAAGAACGAGGGACATCGGGTGTACAGAGAGTATAGTCAACTAACTGCACAAGTAAATAACAATGAACCAAACAGACATCGTTCTTAGCGAGTTAGATTGTGGACTATAATTTCGTGGACCACTACCGCAGACTCGCGTCCTCGAGGCATGTGGACTGTTGGTGAGGTTACACCAGTACATCGTAATGGTAGTGGTAGATAGCCGTCTAACGCCCAACAAATTCAAATTCCAAATTTGATCTATAACGTCGGCTACGATGTAACTGCACAACGAGCAATAACGTTCATGAGGGGGCTAACAAGTCTGTTTTAGTGAAGTTATTGTGGAAAGCGCGTATTGAAGAGGTAGGATATACTACTTGAGTAAGCGTTTTTGACTGGAAAGTCACACGACTTACAGTTAGCTCAAATGCCACTCACAGCAAGGGTGTGCGCCTTTAATATTTACCCGTCGGTCACTATATAGCTACGATTCCCAGCGAATTTTCGCATCGTAGTGCACACATACATATTGCTCCAAATTCAGACGTTGTAGTTGCACCTCAACGCGCCTAGGAATAGTAGTTATAGAGAGGTTGGTTGAGTCCTAACGCCTTTATTTAAAAGTATGCAGTGCGAAATGGTTCGTGGTTTGAAACCCCAATGCGGACCATTGTGCTGATTGTCACTAACATCGAGGCAGTGAGCGTTATGGCTATGGATACTCGTTACTAGTGTAAGTGAACTCAAATACCTTATTTCCAAAACAAAATACTTAAGTACTTAAGTACTTAGTATGCTGGTTGGCTCGCTGAAATTCTTAAGCCTGATAAATTTCCCTGAGTATTTTTGAGGGTTATACGTCGCCACTTGAAATATGCCAGAAGACCCATTATATACTTTAGCATGCAAGGTATCCACGCTAGCTGAGTAGTATAACGGACGCTTAGGTGGTTCAGCACGAGGCGCTAGAATACGAGGTGATACCTTCCGAACTACTCTCTATATATTATCGAATCTCTGAGTAGAGCTGCAAGTTCTGTATAAATGCTCCACACAGATAAAATCAAAAAATGCGTCGTAACCATACACAACCACTACCATCTCAACAGAGGAAGCGGCTATCCGGTGGCTAAGAGGCAGGAACTGGTGCGAACCTTACTAAAATGTTTTACTCACTCAATCGGCATATACTCACATGTAAGGGACAATCTGGGTATGTTGTGATACATTGCGGTGCCTGGCATCCTAAGACAAACTAAATGTATGCATTTGTTCACACGGATTGCTTTGTGGCAACCGTGCTTGGGTTGAACTCCGAAATGCTCACGTATAATTACCCTTTACTAAACTCACAGTACAGTATACTCTAGTACGTACCATTTCAATTTAAAACAGTATAATTGGCCTCATATCCATATCAGCTCCGTACCTCGCATGACGCCACATTATAACAACTCCTAATAGCTGCCTATACGCATGCGCAACCGGAGTCTATTCTACATGTATTAATACAACTTACTTTATGATGTCGCGCGAGTAATTTAATTCAAATTAACTCGCGCGGGTTATTCTGAAGCATCTGGACCATTTTAACGCGCGCGAGTTATTTTGAATTTGAACCAGGCAAAGCTATATGTACTGAGCTCAAGTACATGTACATGTAGTTTGTGTAGCGGCCATTCGCAGGCTCCCGGCTGGAGAAAGGGCAGTAGAAAGGACAGGTTGCTAGTGATCGAAAAAGTGGTTGTTGACGATCACTTTCCAGCTCTTTTGGTTGTTCTCGTCTTTTTTAGGTTGCCATTGTCCCAAAGAAGGTTGTTTATGGTCCAAAGTTGGTACACTGGCGACGCAAAGGCGGAGCGAGCAAGAGCCGCAGCTGCGAAACGCAAGGGACGGTGCAGTCAAGTGGAAAACGGAACGACAAGTAAACGCTGGAAATCGAATACATGCTGGATCACTTGGGTGCGGTCGAAGGCATCGGTGTGCACGCAGCTGTGGTGGGTTCAACAGCATTCCAGCTCCGGGCAAGACGGAGGGAGGTCTGAATTCCAGTGGCGGCGGTGGTGGTGGGCGGGCACACACACGCGCCCCGCCTGTCACGGAAGGAAGGGAGCACCCTGGTCACTGACCAGGGGTCAGTCAACGACACATCTGGGGCGGACTGCAAGCTGGCCTGATTTGGCCTCAGAAAGCGCGCATCCCCCTCGCCTGGTTTTTGCCCATCCCCGTCACGATGCATGATTTTCGACGGAGATCCTCACACTGGCTGAGGCACCTGTGTACAGTACATACAGTAAGGTTGTTGACCGAGATTGCTGTGAGACTCTCTCACTGAGAGCGCTGTGCTCATGGAACATTACGCCGGCAGTTTTTTTCCTTACCGTAATTTACCACCGAGAACATTCCTGAAACCTTCTTTCGGGACAGCAGCGATTTCAACGACGACGTCTTTTCGATATGAGGGTAGTTTTAGAACCTCTGAACCGGTCAGATCTAATAGACGTTGATTTGACGACGCCCACTTTATAGCGAGAGCCACGTCTTTTGGACCTTAGGGCGTTTCGGGACCGCTCGTTCAAACTACATTGATAAAACCAATAGAACATTACGCCGGCAGATTTTACTAGTAGTTCGGACCAGCGCGACGTGGCTTGAAAATCTATGTCACACACCTTCATGTTCGCTTAAGTACGCCAGAAATTCTTCCTCATTCCAGAATCTGCCGGCTCGAGGAAAGATGGTGAAGCTCTTCTGCGCGATCGTTGGTGCGGCGGGCAGTGCGTTTCCTGTGGACATTGACGCGGGTCAGTCGGTGGGAGACCTAAAGAAGGCGATCAAGGCGGAGAAGACGAACAAGTTGAAGGACATCGATGCAGGTGACCTGCAGCTCTTCCTGGCGAAGACGGCGGACGGCGCGTGGTTCTCATCGAAGGACCCTGATGTGATTTCTATGCGAAGTGGAGGCATTCCTGAACAAGTGAAGACACTGCTGAACGTGGAAATGGACCCAGCAGATGAGATTGGCGACGTGTTTGAAGGTGCTCCAACGAAGAAGACGATTCACGTGCTGGTGGTTGCAGATCGGGAGTGCCTTGAAGTCCAGGACGCTGAAATTGCACCGCACCCGAGTCGCAAGAGACGATGGGACAAGTTGAACGAGGTTCTTGATAAGAACAAGAAAGCGAAGAAGGCTGCCGGCTCCACGGGTTTCTCGTACGTGTCGTTCCCGGAGATTGACAGCATCATTGCAGATCGGGAGTGCCTTGAAGTCCAGGACGCTGAAATTGCACCGCACCCGAGTCGTAAGAGACGATGGGACAAGTTGAACGAGGTTCTTGATAAGAACAAGAAAGCGAAGAAGGCTGCCGGCTCCACGGGTTTCTCGTACGTGTCGTTCCCGGAGATTGACAGCATCATGCCAGCGACCAAGTATCGACCATCGTCAAAGCCTATCCCTGACGAAAAGCTTGATGCGCTGCATAGATACTTTCCTATCTTGATCAAGGCTTTTGGAGATATCATTACTGGAAAGCGACTGCACTTCATCGTGCCCGTGCTTGCAAGTGTCTGTGCGCTGTTCGATGGAGGCGTCCAAATCCTGGCCGAAGAAACCGTGATTGGGAAACGTGTTCACGGAGACGGAGCCTTTGAGTTCGTGCTTAAGCGCGGCGAGAAACGAGTTTGCATTGTGGAAGCGAAACGTGACGATTTCCAGCAGGGTCTTGCTCAAGCTTACGTGGGAAGTGAAGCACTTGCGGATGTAGAAGGACTGCCGAAAGTGTACAGCATTGTCACGAACTTCTTGGAATGGGTCTTCTCGAGAAGTCTGGATGAAAAAATTGAGCGTGCGACACCCGTGATGATGGTGATGGAGAATGACGTTCCTGCACCTGAATCAGTGAAGCAGATTGCGGGCATGATTTACTCCATCCTGTCGGAAGACAACTAGCTACGTGTGTGCTTGGACCCAGCAGTATTACAGGACCGGATAGCTTCATTTTGACGTGGCGGTCCGTCGACACTACTTTAAACTTATAATACACGATTCTGCCAATTCTCTGCTTCACCATTAATACTTGGTTTAGCTGGCGAGGAACATCGGCGATGTCACAAGGGGCAGTGACATTTTTTTCATCCTAATAAATATAAAGTTAGTAATATACAATGATGGCGTACTCTCCTGAGCAATACCAAGCTAGCAAGGAACGCATCAAAGCAGCACAGAAGCGCTACTATCAGCGCACACGCGACGCTCGCTTGTCGTATCAAAAGAGCTACGACGACAAGAATAGAGACCAGATTCGAGCTCGCAAGCGTAAACCCAAAACCGAACTTATTGATGGTGAAGTCGAACTTAATAATGAAACCGAACTTAATTAATTAATCAAAAAAATTTCTCAAAAAGTCAATCCCAATATAGTCAAAGACAATGGCTTAAAACCTCCAAAAAGGTATAAGCCAAATATTTGAATTAATTAATTTCAGAATATTTTGTAAATGACTAAGATATAAAGTCGATCCTGATACAAGGTCAAATAATTATAAAGTCATATCTACGGAGAATAATATAGTCAAGCATATATAGGCAACATGTTTGCATACGAACTCGAAGGATTAAAGAGATTAAATATTCAACACGTTCGATGGGGTAGTAGCTACCGTGTTAAGGTACGTGGCAAGACGAGGCGCATGGTATACATTAGCAACATTTCCCACCCCACCAACCAAAAATTGGTAGCGAAGCAGTACCAGATCAGTCTAGGCAAGCTCCAAAAGAATGTGGCTGCTGATTTCAAGGAAGACAGTAAGTACCGCTTCTACCAAGGCAAGAACATGGAGTCGCACCTCTACGAGGGAATTCAGCCTGCTGAGTTCTACGACAAGCTTGAGAACGTGCTCGCAACCCAGAAGTCTGCCTTTAAGGTCAACATCGCTCTTGGATACAAGCTTGTCAGCAGAACTGATGACAGCGAGACTCGCTACTTCCACCCGAATATTAGCAACACGTCTGTATTTAGCACTCCTGTAGCTATCAACAGCAAGGCTGATATTCGTAAGAAGGTGATCTCGGAGATTCGCTCCATGGAGTTGGCTGACAAGCTCAACTACCCCAGCTCCGGGTACATGGTGAAGGGGATTACTGGCTTCAAAATCTATATCTACCAACGCAACCATGCTCTGGGTGATAGCGAGGTTGTCATTCCTAAGGCGATTCGTGATAACAAGCACGTCATCAACTTCCCCAAGACGAACAACAAGTGTGTCTTCCACTGCATTGCTTATCACAAGCAGGAGGGAGCCAAGAAGGATCCTCGCAGAATCCAGGCTCTGGTGAAAGAAGCCTTCAAGCAGTACTGTTCGTACAAGGAGATCACCTACACTCTGGGTCTGTTCCGCAATTTCAAGCCTATCGACATTCTCCAATTCGATGAGCTTGAGGAGTGCTTCAAGCTGAACATCAACGTCTTCAACATGGATGTTGAGACGGGCAAGGTTGAATACATCCGCTGCTCGGACAAGGACTATGATTCGATCAACATCTTGTCGCACGAGAATCACGCTCTCTACATCACGAACGTTGATATGCTCCAGCAGAAGTACCAATGCTCTACGTGTGAGATGGTGTTTGTTAGCTCTGATAAGCTACGCAACCACACTAAGAACCAATGCGAACTCGTGAACATCGAATCGTTTCCAGCTCAGCCAACCATCTACCAACCCGCTCCGAACAGCATTCGTTCCATGCTGACTAAGTACTCCATCAAGGATGCTGACCATTACATCGATCACTTCATTGTCTTTGATTTTGAGGCTATCCTCAAGCCTACGGGTGTCAAAAACGGAGAGAATACTATCTTCACAAACGAACACATTCCTGTGTCTGTTTCCGTGGCCGACAGCTTGACTGAGGAGGTGCGATGCTTTGTCAGCGATGACCCGAAGGAGTTGCTCAAGGATATGTTCCAGTACATCAAGGAAGTTGCGGCTAAGATTCAGCAGTACAACGTCTCGAAGTACGAGTCTTTGCTCCGCAAAATCATCAACGTCCATGGTTTGACTGACGCTGAGGTTCCTGGTCTAGACTTGGGTAAGACGTACAAGATGGATGATGTCAATGCTTGGATTCAGAACGGGGAGTTTGCTTGTTTCTTCGATTTCCACAGCAAGCTCACATTCGGTAAGTAGCGCTCGGATTATGGCAAGCTGAAGCAGTGCATTGGTCAGGTACCAGTATTCGGATTCAACTCTGGACCCTACGACATCAACCTTATCAAGGCGGACCTGTTTGCAGTCATCGGTACTGACAACATCACATCAGCCATCAAGAACCCTAGCTACATGTGCATCGCCACGTCAGACATGAAAATGCTTGACATTAGCAACTATATTCCGGCAGGCACCAGCTATGCAAAGTACTTGTCGACATATCTCGGTGAGTGCAAGTGTGATGACAAGATTCGATGCGTCCGTGGTCTAGGAAAAGGCATCTTCCCGTACGAGTACATTACTCATTTGACGTACTCAGTCAGCCGGAAGTCCCTCCTAAGTCGGCGTTCGACAGTGCTCTTCGTAGCTCTAGCATCAGCGATGAGGACTATGTGCGGGTACAGTTCGTCTGGGAACACTATGGCATGAAGTCAATCAAGGATCTACTCATTTGGTACAACAACCTCGATGTAGTACCCTTCATCAAGGCCATCAAAGCCCAGCGAGAACTATTCAAACGTTTCGAACTTGATATGTTCACTGATGGTGTGTCGCTACCTGGTCTCTCTGAGAAAGTCATGTATCAGACGTGCTTCAACAACCTCCAGCAACCAAGTAAGGAGCCTGCTGAAGCGTTTGACTTTCCCGCTAGTCGCTTAAGTGGATATAAGACCCAGGATGCTGATGCCGATCGTGAATTCAATATGACGCTAGAACACCTCAACGACTTGCTAGAGCGACAAAAATACCTGTGTGGGCTATGCTACAAGCAACTCACAGCTGATACTGCCTCGGCTGACCGAATCAATAATAAGCTCGGACACATCGATGGTAATATCTTGATCAGCTGTGTGGGATGCAACGTTGCTCGCAAGAACATGCCGCTAAAGGACTTCCGCCACAAGAAGCTACTTGAATTCAACTCAGACAGGTTGGTGTACAGTATCGATAGAGAGGAGAAGGACATCTACACCAAGATGAAGGCGAACATTGCTGGTGGTCCTTCTATCATCTTCAACAGATACGCGAAACGCAACGAGACCAAGATTCGAGGGGGTAGGATCTGCAAAAAGATCATCGGCTACGATGCTAATGCTCTGTATTTGTGGGCTCTTGGTAATGAGATGCCATGTGGACGGCTGACTACCGTCGAAGCATACACAGGGATCGTCGATGATATTGTAAATGACAAGATCTTTGGCTTCCTCGAGTGTGATATCCGTACACCAGAGCACCTCAAACCCTACTTCAGTGAAATGACCCCAATTTTCAAGAACACCCTTATCGACTGCAGCGATCGGAGTGTCATCGGTCAGCACATGTTCGAGTACAACGAGGAGCGCAAGCAAAGCCGAGCAAAGCCGGCTCGCAAACTTATCGGGAGCTACTTTGGTGAGAAGATCCTCATTTATGCACCGCTACTCAAATGGTACATTTCTCATGGTATGGAGATCACCAAGACTTACAGCTTCATCAAGGCTAGCTCTCACAAGGCATTTGCACCATTCATGGAAGCCGTATCGAGCGCGCGACGAGAGGGTGATGAAAATGTTAAATCCATCTGTAAGATCATTATAGAGAAGGTATCTGATTCTGATATGGATGATTTAGTCCAAGAGTTGAAAAAAATCATTACGAACCCTAAATCATTTGATGCGCTCATTATCGATAGATTCATGAATGAATCGACAACCAATCCTAAGATTCATTTGGTTCTAGACTTGTTGACTAAGCTGAAAACGCTTAGTGAGGGTAGCAATAATAAGGCTATGATTGCTGAGATGATGAAACTGGTTGGTAATAGTGCGTTTGGTCGATCTGGCATGGACATGAGCAAGCACAAGGAGGTCAGGTATGAGTCGGACGACAAGGCAATCAAGGCCAAGATTGAGCACTTCACCTTCCATGGAATGGAAGAGCTGGATGATTCATGTGAATTCACTATGAAGAAGCGAAAGTTCAACAATAAGAACCCAATTCATCTATCGATTGCAATCTATCAGCTCGCTAAGCTCCGTATGTTGCAATTCTACTATGATTGCATGACTTCTACTTCGACCGTTCGGAATTCCAGAACCAAGAAATGGACACAGACTCGGCTTATATTGCGTTCAGCTGTGAGAAGCCATTCGTTGAGTGTATCAAGCCCGAGCTTCGTGAGCATTTTCAGCAGCATAAGTACGAGTGGTTCCCACGTGATTATAGCGAAGAGATGGCTCAGTTTGATCGCCGAACGCCAGGTTTGTCCAAGGATGAGTGGTCTGGTGATGCTATGGTATCATTGTCCTCTAAGAACTACATTTGCTACCTACCAGACGAATCTTACAAGTTCATGGTTTCCGCGAAGGGAGTGCAGCAGAATGGTGGTCGAAACGCTAATATCCTCAACCCAGATGGCTTTGAATCAGTTGTTCGCGATCGCATCACGCTACAGGGCACCAACAAGGGGTTAGACTCAGTAAGGAGAGTAAGTCAATCATTACGTACACCCAGACTAAAACAGCTCTAAACTACTATTATGATAAGCGTCGTGTACTTGCGGATGGTATCACCACCGAACCGATCGACATATAAGCAACTGCCTGGCAGGGGATTTTTTTGTTTTATAACCATATAGAGCGATGGATCAGCTGTTGTCCAAATTATACTATGACCCCAAAACGGGCTATGTAGGTGCCCAAGCCTTATACCAGAAGGCTAAAGAACTGGAGCCGAAGATTACGATGAAAATCGTCAAGGAATGGTACTCAAACCAGAGCGATATTCAGCGATTTCAGGAGCAGAAGAAGGATGGGTTCAAAATCGCATCGACTAACCCCAATTCGTGGCAGATGGACTTGGCGTTTTGGGAGAGACCAATCTTGACTGCGATCAACATCAACTCTCGCCTAAGGCTACGCAAAACTACTAACCAACAAAACTGGCCCGACCGTACTAGCAGCAATTAGGGTTTTTGTCCGCCTCCATAAGGTTGACATTCTCACAACCGATAATGGTTCAGAATTCATGAACCAACAGGCTCAGAAATTATTCAAAACTAAGAAAATTGACCATTTCAACAATGAGCCTGGAGATCACGCCAAAATGGGTAAAATTGAACGCTTCAATAGAACTCTGAAGCAGCGCCTTGTCAAAATCGAACCAAAGCGACTAACCCAGAAGCTCATAGCTGCTGTTATTGAGAACTACAATAGCACGACCCATCGGACGATTGGTATGACCCCCAACGAAGGTAAAGGTAAGGTAATTGAATCTGAACTAGTCCACAACCAGGCTGAAGCCGAGAGGATTGAAAACGAGTTCGAGGTCGGTGAAAAGGTTTTGTATCGACTAAAAAAGAAAACATTTGATAAAGAAGCAGCAAGATGGTCTAAGGCTGTGTATTCGGTGGTAGGTATTGATGGCTACCGCATCCAAATCAAGTCGAAAAACGGACACACTCTTTACAAGGGGCCAAACGATCTAAAAATTGTTAAAGCAGAAACATATGAAGCTACTATCAACAGAGGTGATATTTTAGAGGTGGAGAAGATCTTAGACCACAAAAAGATGCGATCCGGCAAGTACAAGTATCTCGTTCAGTGGGTCGGTAATGAACTTGACTCCTGGGAGCCACAAGATAATCTTAGATTAGTCAATAAGAACAAGAGATCAACCTTAGAGAATGAGTACTGGAAGTCGATAAAAAAATGAGTCGAACTAGCTTCGAAATAAGTTTAATAGAGCAATCCTCTGTAAGCGTTGACTCATCTATATCTATCAATCTATTTTCCAAAAATAATGCTTAAAAATATATGACTTCATATATAGAATGTGTTGCAACTGCGTAGAGAATCAACGTGAGCTTGTACAGCTCCGAAGAAAGCTGTGGATAATTCAAGAGGTTAGTCGAATCAAAAATGAACTCAGATATTTAGACCCAGTAGTCAATTTCGGGAAAACCGTGTGCAATCTACAGTACCGCGACCAGTTAGAAACGATATTTGGTGTGCCGTTTCATTGCATCAAGGATCAATACATCAATCTCCTCAATGAGCGAAACCGTATCTGTCATACGTATCAACCATTTAGGCATGACTCCGTTATGCCAAGCTATTGGTGAGTATGTATTTAATCGATGCTAATATTTTTTATGACTACCATGATATAGTTAGACGATGTTTCCCAACTTTACATCCCTCGCTCAACGAGAGCAAAAGCGGCAGGAGCTACTCGAACGAGCTGAGCGCCGAGTTCGTCAAGCCAAGTCCAAGCGCCTTATGTACGACGGTGCATCATGGGCTAGCGATATCGCGAATGGTATCACTACTGTTCCAAAGAAATCAACACAACCCGCTCAGGCTGATATTTCGGTTGGCCCTGACGAGGCTACGCCGGAAGAGTTAAAAAAAGTCTGAATATTGAAAACTCCCAAAAAAAACCCTGAGTCCTCAACAATGGTAGATGCTGAAGTTAATGCAACACCTGAAATGATCGATGCATCGACTACTGCAAAGCCTCAGTCCGTTGATGCTTCCAGTACTGCTAAGCCCAAAACCAGCGATGGTTGGGTCCACGCCACGTGAGCCCAGATATGACTGATGTTGGAGTTGATAATAGTGCAAGAATGACAGATGCTGGTGTTGGCCCTGATAGTCCACTACCGCAAAAGCCCGTCGAAGAAGATTTGTTCGACGAAGGCAATGCTGAGATGAAAAATCAAACAAAGTCAAAGGAAGCGGTCGCTAAAATCTTCGAGGTTTACCCCATCCTTGCAGAACTAAATATTCACCCTATTGCTTCCAACGACCGGCAGCTTACTAAGTATTATATTGGGATGGATGCTAAGGTGTACAGTATTAAACTGAGAAAATATGTACTAGTTCCGAGCATTGATTGGTCTGAGACGTATGACCATATTGGCGAGGTATTAATTAATGATGTCAGATTCCTCGCATACGTCAATGAGAAGGAGCGACGTAATGAGATGGGTAAAGAGGACAAAAATAGCCCATACCAGGTTTGGCAAAATATCGGCTCAAAAAGAAAAAGAATCAATGCCTCAGAAGGAGATTATTCAAACTGTTCTAAGCAGAGACTTGACGACAGTTTTGTGTTCGATACTGGAACATCCACATGATCCGATCAAATGGACAGCAAGCTCAAATTATTTTGGACAATTAGCAAAAATAGGGAAGTCCTTGAATCTAACGGATTGATAAAGAAGATTGTACCAATTCTTAATGGTTCCGCAAAATCTTCTCCTATTGAGAAAGATGGCTATGTTTGGATCAATGGCAATAGCAATAGCGTTTACGGGAAAGATAGCGATCGTGTGAAGCAAGCAATCACTCAGAAAGTGAACTGGATAATGACATTCCAATCTTTCATTAATACGACTAAAGCCAGGGGCCTCGAGTTAGAACTAGTTGGTAGCAATGAAACCAAACACATAAATGATTTTACCCCAGCTAATGGTGAAGCTCAGCATGGGTTAATGAGTGGTATTGATGAAGACATGGACCCAAGCCTATCAAACGCTGATAACGACGCCAAGAATATCTTAACTGATTACTACAGCCAGTTGCACGGTAATAGTAATATTCCATTTCGGCTACAACCAATCGTGATAATCAACGGTGTTGTTAAGTCCCATCCATCATACTACTTTGGGCAGCCATCGGGGTCTAGACCCCTAAATATTTTAAATCGTGAAAACAAAGCACACAAGCAGGTGAGTGGTGTAGCTTGGAAGGGGCTAATGAAGAATATCATGTGGATGGATACCTTTTCGTCCCTACTCAACGGGGTCGAGGACTTGGACCGCTATCTTAATGAGGTTGAATACCCCTTCCCATCGAGCGATGAAGAAGCAGCTAGGATACTTGAAGAAAAGGAGCTTGATAAGCAAAGACATAAAAACCTGGATGCTAATCTTGAAATATTGAATGAGGCTATTCTAAAGTCTGTACACGATATTAGACAGCAAAGCTTTGAAGAGTATGAATACGATGACAGCTTGCAAAAGCTTCAAGATGAGTCATAAGCAGCTTTTCAGACATACGGTGAGGCTCAGAAACGCTATGAAGAAGCAAAAGAGGCTGTTAGAGGGAATAACTCAAAAGCAGCGAGATCGGTGTTGAAGGCAGCTACATCAGCTATGAAGGCGACAAAATCGATATATCAAACGAAGGCTAAGCGATACGCCGAGGCAAGCGAGGTATCCGGCAGTGGCGTTAAACGAAAGCTTCAAGGTCGAGGATTGCGCGGTGCAGGTGTTGCCCCGCTGGAAGGTGTAGTTCGCCGAGGCCGTACCTACAATCTCAATGAGATCCAAGGATTAGCAACGCCGTCAGCCTACACATACAAGCAGATCGGAAGCAAGTATATTCGTATCCCCGACCTTGATGCTAAAAAGCTCGTGATCGTTCAGCCGAATCGGCGTAAATGTGGCCCTAAGTGGGAAATCAGTGATGGCCTCCAAGCCATGATCAAGGCACTTGTCTATAAGAACCGTATCGATCAATCCGCTTACGATAAGCTCAGCGTTGAAGATAAGAAACTGTTTAAGGAGGTTCTATTGATTACTCATCTCCAATACAGCTTCCACGATAAGTTAGAGGATCCTCTACATACGCTTAGGGCTGAATACGATAAGCTAAAAGGAGAGCTACAACTCGGAAATGACAACCCTAGTATCATCAAGCAGCTCAAGTCTCTCACGGTGGATATGTACAGCAATCGACTGATTGATGATAAAGAGTTCAAAGATATTATCACCCGTTTATTATAAAACCATGTTCTTCTTCAACTCGCGCATTATATCCAGTTCCGGAGGCAGCTATGGTGACAATAGCGACCTCAACGTCGCTGAGTTGAAAGCTATCATGAAGAGCCTCATCATTCATGATCGTACCCAGAAAACCCAAGCCGCTGTGTGGGCTACTGACCTCGACAAGTCGACCAAGAAGGTGGAGGCATCTACCCAAACGGAAGGCGGCCGAGTCTGGGCTTACCAGCCAAAAAACGTCAAAGTCTGTGAAGACATTTGCTCTATAGAGCAGAGCGGATATACTTAGATGTCTACGTCTGTTTTCTTCTCGCGATAGAGTCTGATTTTTTTATCTCCGATATCGATAGCCATGACAGCATTCTTGCCAATATGTACGTTGTACATTGGGATATAAGCATTATTCCTTATCGAAACCACTCCAGCGTGCATCGTTATTGAACCGATGACTTGGCCAGTTTCAGGGTTACTCAGGTTCTTTTTGATCGTTTTACTTGGTCCGCAGCCCATGATACTCTATTACAACGAAGTACTCAAGATCTGCTCTATATTTATCGGTGCGAAATTATCCCTGAGCCAATACCATATATAACCCTCTCGTGGAATTCGACAATTCGATCACATTGTAGTTGATCAGTATCAACGACATTAGCGTTAGTAGTCTGAGGGCAAGCGGTCTTCGCCACGAACTGGGTTTGACAGATACCATTCTATATTTACTCAGACATAATCGCTCTCAACTCATTGAGTTCAGCTTTGAGATTATTGATTTGGCCTTGCTGTTCTTGGATAGATTTACACAGTACCGAGGTTAAACTGGCCAGATCGATTCCCCATGGATTCACTGGAAACCCATCCGGATTAAGCTCATCGTTTGCTCCGATATCTACTGCTTTTGGTATGACCTTATACAGCTCCTGCGCGATATAGCCAACATGGACAGTCTGCTCTTGAACCATCCTGAATTTTCTAGGTCTCATTCTCATAAGGCTTGCCAAACCATAGGGACAGTCTACAATGTCCGCCTTCAACCTCTCATCGCTTGCATTGGTATAGCTTCCTCCACGCACCGGGACATAGGCTGTCCACGCGTAATTAGCATCGCATTTTCCCAACCTGATAGCTCCTACGTTGAATCAGTACCAATCGCTGGATAGTCAGTCTGAGCGATACCTAGCAAATCCATCGCCGCCTCCCTTTACGTGCATGAAATTATTCGCCCATACCTCTCCGCCTGAGTGAATGGTTGCTTCTGGCGACCACGTACTCATACCAACTCCCAGTCTTCCTGAGCTGTTTAGATAAGCTTGAGTTGTGTTTCCAACCATGAACCTTAGCGGGTCGCTCGTAGTGGTGCCTAGAGCTACACCACTACTTCCTCCCGCGACATCGTTGTATACCTGAATTTCAAATTCGATTGGAGTAGTAGCATCGTTGGCTATACGCATTGCGCGTTGCCAAGACCCGCTTAGTAAATTCGCGCTCGAAACTATATCTATTTTTGCAGTACTGGTAGCTGATCCAAAGCGAATGTATCCTGCTTGAGTGATTCTCATACGTTCAGTCATTGGTGATAATGCATTAGCTCCTGACCGTGTACTGATTGCAAAATCAGCCATTGAATATTGAAGACTCGTACCGGTTCTAGTACAATATAGATTAACGCTAGGGGTGTACGTTGTCATATCACTAGTACCTTCAATCGTGAACGATAATCCGGCCTGAGCGTCAACCGTATTGCTTTAATAACGAATCATGAGATTAAAATCAGAGGCACGCGTTGTTGATGTAAATGATGTCCCGGCCGCAATCTGACATTGGGTAGAAGTAGTGGATATCAGATTGGTTGACGTTAGAGATGAGATACCTGATGAGATGCTACTATTAGAGTCTAGTACAAGAGCCTTTGATGCTTCTGCAGTTCCTGCTCCGGTGGTAAGATCTAGATAGTTCAGCTCAACGGTAGATGCTGTGCATCCAGCAAGCTTGTTCAGCTCCGCACCTGTATATCTCCCCTGAGTTGAAGCGTAGTAGGATTGATATTCAAGGTCGTTGCATTCATAGTTTGAGTACCTGACTTACTAATTGTATCGCATGTGATCGTAGACGATGATATTGACGTCGAAGCTATAAAGTTTCGTGATATGGTTAGATCGCGAATGCCTGAGTAATCTTTCGTACTATTGAGAACCACAACGCTACTGGCTGAAGCGCCCCCTTCGATAACATTGAGAAAGTAAGCATGATTGAAATTTATCCAAGAACTGACTCCATCCCAAAATTTCAGATTCGGAATGAATAAACCGGTTCCACCAGCGCTAAGGGTTAGATTGCTAAGCGTACCTAGACTAGTAATATTAGGCTGAGCAGCGGTTTGTAGCGTTCCTGTTATCGACGTCGCTGTGAGCGAGCTCAGGGTTCCTAGGCTGGTAATGTTGGGCTGAGCAGCTGTTGTTAGCGTACCCGATACATTGCCCGAGCAATGTACAGCGGTTAGAGTACCTAACGATGTTATATTAGGCTGAGCAGCAGTCTGTAGCGTACCAGTAATGTTAGTTGCAGTTAGCGAGCTAAGACCTGTAATGGATCGACTTGCACCAGTAAAGGTTAAACTGCCTCCGATAGTCAATCCAGTAAGCGTACCTAAGCTGGTGATATTTGGTTGAGCAGCCGTCGCTAGCGTTCCATTGATGTTTCCACTCACGGTGAGCGACGAGAGTGTCCCTACACTAGTTACGTTGGTCTGAGCAGCAGTTGCCCATGTACCAGATATGTTTCCACTCGCGGTGAGGGACGATAGCGTGCCTAAGCTAGTAATATTAGGCTGAGCCACTGTCTGCAGCGTGCCAGTAATCGACGTTGCCGTCAAACTACTAATAGTAGCAATTTCACCTGATGCACCAAGCACCAGAGCTTTGTTGATAGCGGCAGTACCTGGAGTAATATCAGCTACATACGTTGGTACGCCTGAAACGGAAGCACCCTTAACAGTTAGGCTACTACAGCTTAGTGCTCCAAGACCGCTGATGTTCCCACCACTTCCAGGGACAAGCGCTACACCAGGTGATGCTACGCCTTGAGAGACACCGGTAATGTACGTCAAGCGATAGTCATACTTGTTCAGATAAAGAGTCTGAGCATAGTCATACGTTAGAAACCCGCTGGCATCCAATTGGAGAAAGAATGCCGGATTATAAATCGGCGATGTGAATATCGGGCTAGGATAAGAAAAACCTGAACTTATCTTTGTTTGATCCTATATAGTTTAGACGATAATCATGAGCGGTATTCCAGATTTCGGAGCTTCAATCCCTAAAAAATTCAAAAGCGCCTCGATGGGTGATATTCCAGCACTTGACATCAAAGCGCTGTTTAGAATGGTGGTTCTGGGGCCATCGTTCTCAGGGAAGAACAACTTATGTGTGTTCATCCTCAAGCATTCTCCTCACGTATTTGCTCATCTAACGATCATTGCTCGTAATCCTCACCAGGAGTTATATGAGTATTTTCGTGATAAGCTTCCGACCCTGACTCGCCTCCGAGTACGTCATACACCAATTAATTCCAATAAGCCTGAGCTCGTCATCATCGATGACTACAGCAACGATAAGCTTCTTCAGAAGAATTTGTTCTCACATTACTTCACTAGAGGGCGCCACTTCAAGCTATCAACCATCTTCTTGAGCCACAGCTACTTCGCAACGGACAAGATGCTCAGATTGAACTCAGAGTACGTAGCGATCCTGAAAGCTAATTCTAAGCGAGACCTCCAGATGGTTGTGAAAGATATTAATATCAAGGGAGTAGATGAGCGTTCAATCGTCTATTATTACAACAAAGCCACAGAGCGAAAGGGCCAAATGCTCTTCATTGATTCGGTCAAGGGTCAGATCAGGTATAACTTCGATAGACCGATTCGTATCGAGGACTAATTCCAATTTATCAAACAAAAATATGCCTACAAACATATAATCAATATGTCCAGCTTGATCAAACTCGACAGAACCAATCTGGTATAAGATGGAACCAATTCAACCTGGAAATACTCCTTTCCCGGATCGGCGGCTGACTTCCGCGATGTAGTATGTGCCATTCAATCGATTTCGATGTATAACAGCGAGTATAACATTGATTCAATGCAATTTCAGAACACAACTTTCAAAATCGAAGTACCTACCGCTGCAACTACATCCACAATCAGTGTATCCCTCCCTGATGGTATTTATTCGTATGACGATATCAACCGAAGCATTCAGACTGCTCTTGTCAATGCTGGGGCGTATCTAAGCGATCCGTCGGGGAATAACGTATTCTATATCAAAATGAGTGCTAACAGTGTCTATTACGCTTGTCAGCTTGATTTCTCTCCTACGCCTACAACTCTACCAACTACCGGTGGAACATGGACCAGACCTACCTCCGGTTTATACTCCTCTGGTGGTACTGGATTGCCGACTACTACTCGCGTTCCTCGACTGGTCATCGATAATGCTGAATTCGGTAAAGTAGTTGGTCTCACAGCGGGTACATACCCCTCCATATCAGCTACTGTTGCAAGTGCTCATCTATCGAACATCATTCCTCAGATTCACCCGACCAGTTCCTACATCGTTCGTTGCGATCTGATCAAAAACGAATACGTGGCTTCTGGTGATATTGTCAGTGCTTTTGATAGAGGTGATGCCGCTATTGGAAAGGTCATTTCATACAAACCGAGCCAGTATGCGTGGATGAACTGTCATAATCGCGCTCGAGCTAGTATTACACTCAGTATCTATAACCAAAATGATAAAAAAGTGATTTTCAGAGATACGTCGGTATCCATCATGCTTCTGATTCGTCCAAAAAATAAGACATCCAGAGTATTGTTTTAGGGCGGCTACAACGTAAACGAACCACCAGTCTTACGACGAGCCCTGAGCGCAGCCATCTTAGCCTTCATCTCTGGCGAACCCTTCGCTGGACGTTTCTTTGCTACGCCTACACCATAGCGGCGACGAACCTCCTTTCGCACAGATCTGATTAGATCCTCATGTTCCGGCTTGGTAGCTTTTGATAGTAGGAACGTCTCTCCAGCATCGACCGCGTCGGTGATGACCCCCTTGCGCTTCGTGTATGCAAGAGCATTCTTTGCAGCCTTCTTTACGTCAGCCATTGATACGCGACCTCCTTCCTTGTCGCTATCGGAATCATAAATACCAATGCCGGTTAGGGACTTGATTGCAGCTCTGGCTGGAACAGCAGCCGTTGGTTGACCAGCATAAGTAGCTAAAGCAGAAACCGCCGCATCAACGGCTCTGGATAGTAGACCTGAATCCTTAGCAAATTTGTATGCAGACTTGATCCCTCCCCATACTTTGGACCAGATAGAGCCTCCTTGAGCCTTTTTGTAGCCCTTCTTCACTTCGTGCTTGGTAATGTCGAGTCTGACACCGCGTCCAGCTTTACGAGCCTTGAGCGCCTTTTCAAACGAAGCAGGGTGGAGATAGATGACTGAACCACTACCCTTTAGTTCGCTTGAGGTGAGGCTGAGCTTACCAGTCTTGAAAGCTTTGGTAAGCTTCCGCGCAGGAATATCACTGGAGATTGTTAATTCGCGATACATGATTACTATATACGTTGAATTAAATTTATTCCAGAATTGTCAAATTTAGATCTTTCATTGTTTTGAATTCATCTGGCTTACGGTATTGCTTCGAATATAGCCATAGGACACAGAATGGTCCACAGCAGTCTCCATAGGTTCCTTGGTATTGCTTGGTGTTGTATCGATCGATACCATACTTCTTTGGTGGTCCTTCCCCCATACTATCGAAGAATTCACCATTATGAACCGCCGTCCAGTGTCCTACCTCAAGATTAGGAGGGCGAAGTAGAATCAGACATGACCCTTTCTTGGGGAGATGGGACTTTATCTCATTTGATTCGAATATATTATCGAGTTGAACGTTCATTTTCTCAGCGAGTTCAATGAGATCATGATCTGAGGTGATTGGCTTGATGCGGTGCGACATAATATTTAATTTTATCAAACTATATTAGGATCCATATAGATTCAACGATGAGCGAAACTCAACTATCCGATCAGTACTTGTACCAGAGCTCGCTTAAGAGCGACCCGGAGATCAAGGTATCTTCGAGCAAGCGTGTACCGCACGTTATTGACCTAAATCAGGGTTCGTACCAGAATGGTGTCATCACTATCGATGCTACGGCTAGGCTTAACGGTTCCGAGGGCTTCGCAAGCCTTCATGATGCCTACATTATGCTTCCCTACAAGGTCTCAATGAAGAATGGTGGCACTGCTCAAACTGCCGCTGCCAATCGTCTATGTGCTACTCTAAAATGCGGAAATAGGAACGTTATTGATAGTCTGAGTCTGGAACTAAACGGAAAGACTACCGTCTCTTTGGCTGACTACAAGCTCTTTTGGAAGAACGTTCGTGCTCAGACTGGCTACAGCCCTCAGTTCGTTGAAAAGCACGGAGCTGAATCGTTCTTGTACCCTGACGCTGCTCAGTCGGTATCATGCAGTTCTGGATCCGCATCTACCAGTGGTGATGGATATTCAAACACCATGGCATTCTCGTCTGCCTTTGCTGTCTCGGCTCCTCCTGGTGGTGCAACTATTCCTAATGATGGTTTCGTTAAACGCCTTCTATCGAATCCTCCTACGGCTGGCGCTGACTTCTCCAGCTCGTGTCCGTCGGTAGGTGGAGCTGCTGCATCGACTACCATTTCTAACCAGACCTCGCGTGGAGCTTTCGTAGCTGGTGGTACTGCTGCTAACGCAATCATGGGAACGTGGAACTACATGCTTAAGATTAAGCTCACCGATCTGCATCCTATCTTCCGTGAGCTTGACTTAATGGCTAACCCTCAAATTCGCCTGCGTTTCCGTGTGAATCAGGGAACGTCTGTAGTCGCGGTAGATGCTTCAAAGGGTATGTCCTCTACTACTCTATCGTCTGGTAATAGTTGTCCGGTCATGATTGCCGCTTCTGCTACCGGTAATCCGATGAATGGTGTGCTTGCCGCATCTGCGGGCTTTAGTGTTGCTTGGGGAGCGGTTGTAAATGCTCTTGAACCTACCATCGATGGTACATACATGCCTTTTACTACTGCTCGTTTGTATGTCCCTTTCGTTCATCTTGAGAACCCTCAAGCTATTATCTCTAAGCCGGTTAAGAAGGTTCGCTACAATGATTGCTACGCACAGTGGTTTTGCCAGCGTGCTGGTATTGGTAAGTCCTCGACTCAACTAAATGCTTCTTTCGATCTACAGCTATCGGCAAGTGTTAAAAACGCGAAATATGTTGTGCTTTTACCATTCGCGGAACAGACGAACAACTTTGCTTCTGCTACTGTTCATCAGTTCCAGAGCCCCTTCAATAGCTCTCCATACACGCTTCAGCCCGGGTCGTCGATTCGCAACGTTAACGTTCGTATTGGCTCGACTCAGGTGTTCGATATCAGTCATGACTATGATTTCCACCACTTTACCAACGAAATTGCTAAGATTTCAGCGATTAACGGAGATCTAACCCCTGAGCTCGTAAATGGTCTACTTGACTGTCAGACGTGGTCGTTCACAAACCGCATGCTTATTGCCGATGTCAGTCGCCTGACTGAGCGCGATGTACCTCAGGCTATTCAGATCCAAGGTACGAACGCCGGATGCCAAGGTGTGAATATGCTGATCCTCGTAATTAGCGAACAGGAACTAACGTTCGATAGACTAACCGGAGAGGTTCTAGACTTCACTACAGCGTAAGTAAAAAATAAGATATTTTTTAGTTCAGCTCCTTGAGTAGCTTTGGACACTTGTCAATCATGAATTGACTTTTTCTTAGCCAATCGAGATAGCCTGGATCCAATTCACTGATCTGCTGTAAAGATTTGCCTCGATACTTACCCCACGTCATCCATCATATAGGATTTATCGTTATTTAGGAATCTTGAGTGAAGAAAGATTTTCATTTCCTCGCTAATGTTGAGACTGGGCTGGTTGTGAATCCACCGACAGTATCCAGGATCACTCTTGAATACATCCTCAATGGATTGACCTTTGTATTTTCCGAAAGATAGTTCGATCGTCATGTTGTATGTGTGGGTATCTATATACATAGCCTCTTAATTTTTTGAAAAAAATAAATGAATGTTGGATCACCATTTGCTATAGTCCGGGCCCCACCATGCGAGATCTTTTGGATATGGCATTGACTCGATCCACTTCGAATGTTTTTCGTTATTGCAGTGTTTCGCGAAGTTCCATCTTTCCATCGACGACCCGCACAAGCAGGTAATTCGTTCACCCATCGGAGCTGAAACTATTTTCTTCATCATGTCCTCACTCGCTTCAGGTGAGTATACTTCTACGGATGGGAACTTTGAAAATGGGTGTCTCCCACAACGATCTTGGGCTGGCTTTGCCTTACACGTTGCTCCACTTTCCAAGATGTAGTTGCACATTGTGATTACTAGTAGTAATTATTATATATCTATAAGATTTACATATCAGGATCAAATGAATTTTCAATCAATTTCATAAAAATGACGTCGTAATGTACCGGTAATTCTTGCATGTGCGATCCTGCACGTCTACAGGGTCGCGCGACTGCTCGATGGCTAACGGACGCCTCCTCGAGCTCTGAGGTGGTTGAGAGGTCGTGTAGGTAAAACGGACGACTATCCACAAAGATCGTTCTAGCACCGTTCTCGGAGGTAAATTACGGTAAGAAATTATGAAAATAAAAAACTGCCGGCGTAATGTGCCGCGACCCACTACTCATGCCACTTCGCCAAGGACAGAAAAAACTGTGTGAAGTAGGACTCTATGCGGCTAGGTATGCGTGCAAGGGGCCGAAGCTCATACAAGGTTGTAAATGAATGAGTGATTTACGGATTCTTGGGTGAATTTTTGACCCGTTGGATCATGTGCAGCAAGATAAATTCGTGGACGCACGACGTCTGTACACCTTCCGTACGTATCGTAGCAGCAGGGACTTCGTTTCAGTACAAATCGGCCAGAGCTCTTGCCCGCAGCGACGGCAGTGATTTTTGTGCTCAATTGATTTCTGTTATTTTTGCGCTCAACTTTTGTACTTTTTTCTGACAGTTTTGATCGCACCTAGTAAGAGCATGTACTGTACATACTTATTTAATGTCCACCACATAAAGTAGAGCCGCGGATCTGCTTGACAAGCTTCCCCCACGCGCGCGCCCACCATGGCAACGCCCTCGCTCGGAAGGCGCAGCGAGACGTTCTGGACGCGCGTCTTCCTGTTCGGCGCGTCATGCGTGGCGGGTCTCATCATCGCGCGCCGCCGCAAGCTGCGCCGCTTCCACTTGCACATTCTGAACGCCAAGTCGGCTGACTGCGGCCGCCTCTTCGGGCTCGACATCGGCGGCACGCTGGCCAAGATGGTCTACTTCCAGTCGGCGGACGGCGCGGCCGCGGCACAGCGCCGCCAGATGGAGCGCCAGCTAAATAGGTCCGACCCGCTGACGGCCAGCGAGCGGCGGCGCGTGGAGGGCAGCCTGCCGCTCATCGACGACTTCATCATGAGTCTGCACGCTACGGACGAGGCCCAGCGCGAGGAGCGGCTGCAAATGTTCGTGCCCGAGCTGGGCGGCACCATCCACTTCATCAAGTGCGTGAGGGGGGCCACTGGAGGCGTAGAGCTGGTGAATGTGAGCTGAGGTTTATTTGATTGTTTGCATTCCTGTTTGCTGCAGCTTCCCGACCGCCAAAATGGACGAGATCACCGACTTCGTGCGCCGCCGATTTTTCCACCGATACATCAAGAAGATCGCGTGCACGGGCGGCGGCGCCTTCAAGGTGCGGTGCCATTACTCTTTTAAATTCGCTACACGCGCTAGGATTGTTGACACCTTGCTTCCCTTGCAGTTTTCTGCGCTGTTCGAGTCACGTCTGGGCATTGAGCTGCAGAAGGCGGACGAGATGGATGCCCTCATCCAAGGACTCAACTTCGTGCTGCGGTACGCCCCCAATGAGTGCTACACCTTCGTGGACGTGGTCCCCGACACGCATGGACTCGGAAGCGCTACGAAGAAGCTGCTTCCAAAGCCGGACAAGCACGAGCTCTATCCATTCCTGCTTGTGAACATCGGCTCTGGCGTGAGTATCCTCAAGATCACAGGTGAAGCGCAGTACGAGCGCGTGTCGGGCACGAGTTTGGGCGGTGGCACCTTCCTGGGCCTGTGTCGCGCTCTCTCCAAGTTGCGCACGTTCGATGAGGCGATGGACGCTAGCGTTGTAGGCGACTCGAACGAAGTGGATATGACCGTAGGTGACATCTACGGCACTGCCGGCTACGAACAGTTCCAGCTCAAGCCGGACACCGTAGCCAGCAGCTTTGGTAAGGCCGGTGCCCGCCGCCCGCCGTACCCTCCGCGCGACGCCGATCTAGCGCGCTCCCTGCTCTTCATGATCACTCAGAATCTGGGTCAGCTGGCATTTTTGAATGCGCGTCGCGTCGAGACTACGCGGATCTACTTCTCTGGCAACTTTTTGCGTCGCAACGAGTTGGCGTGTCGGCAGTTGGCCTACGCCATCAGCTTCTGGTCGAAAGGAGAGATGCAAGCGCAGTTCTTCCACCACGAGGGTTTCTTTGGCGCGCTTGGGACGTTCCTGCAGCGCTTCAATTCGGTCGCCGAGTCACCAGCAGTGAGCGAGACGGAGGCAGAGCGCGACAACAGCAGCGAGGCAGACATTGAGCAGAGTAGCGGCAGCAACGGTGGGGAAGACCTCCACAAGAGCAGCGCTAGGAGACAATAGAGCGAGAGTTTGCAGCTTGCATCGCCGAGACGCTGAGAGCGAGCACCAACGCCACCGTTTTTGAAAGCTACAGAGAGTTGCTGCGCTCGGTATCAGCGGTTGGCGTTGCTGCCGCCTTGGCGATGGGTGTCCTGCGTGGCGCCACGTATGACGAGCAAACAAGCAAGCAAGCGTCTCTGAGTAAGAGGGGCCCGCCCGGCCGGTTCGTGCAGTCGATCGATCGTTGACCGGCTCGGGCGACAGGCAGCGGGCGAGCAGGTCGCCTACAAAGGCAAGCACGCTCGCCCGGCCGCGTGGACCGGGCGCAGGCGTGAGTGATCGAGCGAGCGCGCGCGGCGAGCGCACTGACGCACTGGATGGGATTGCTCGCCGCTGCAGTCCATCGCGCCGCTGCCTAGCAGCTGGGAGCCGCGACGGGAGCGGGTGATCGACGGGAGGTTGAAGTGTCACGACGCCGCGGCCGCCGTAAAAGTACCTGTGCACCTGTATTGCACTGAAGTGCCTGTCGCCGTTTGACATGCAAGTTGCGAGCCGCAAGCGAGCGATGGGTGCACGCGATGGGCGAGGTGCGGGTCTCACCCGGATGCTCGCGAGCGACAGCCCAGCACAGCTGCAGTCCAATGCGATCCTCTGCCTTGTGTGGGCGGGCTTCTCGCAGGAAGCTCAAGCTGCTGCGAAGAATCAAAGACCAGCATGAGATGCAAGCTAAAAATACAAGAAACAGTTACCGGCAAGCAAGAAACACCGAACAATGTCAAGATGCGAAAATGCTCGTCGCGTGTTAAATACTACGTAGTAGGAAGACTGTTACGCCTCTATACTATCCTCGGCTATTGTACTGTTCGTTGGCGGCACTGCCGGGGTCTGCCGCCGCTGCGTCTATCGGCAGAGGTCGGTGCGGCGACCCGAGTTGGTGCTGTCACCGCCGTCGCCGCTGCTGCTGTTGCTGCTGTTGCATTAACAGCTTGTTGGCTGGATGGCCGGGCGGCCGTGGTGGTTCTTGAGGCCTGCCTACCTGCCTGTTGGCGAGCGGCAACGGGAAGCTGCGCGTGAGCTTGCATGCTTGCACTCTTGCTTGTCAAGGTAGCTTCACCGGGTACGGACGGACGCGCTCATGCCAAGAAGTGGCGCAGGATCTGCAGCTCGTCCGCGGCCAGGTCGCCCGCGGGCGCGGCCGAGAACGCAATGGGCTTGATGTTGCTGCTACTGCTCCTGCTGCTCTGCTTGTCGTCGATGCAGTCCAGGTCCAGCGCGCTGGCGATGCTGGCCACCACGTGGCTCTCCCACTTGCTCAGGTCGCTGCTGCTGCTGGCGCGCTCCTCGGCGCGGGCCTTCTTCTTGGGGGAGATCACGCGCTCCTCGAGCGGCGAGCCGGCGACCTCGTCGAGCGACGTGGGGGACGCGGCCTCGGCCACGGAGGCGTCGCTGAGCTTGCGCTTGCGCGGCGACAGCGCGGGGCGCTGCACCGACAGGAGCGACTGCGGGGCGGAGACGCTGCTGCTGCTAGCTACGGGCGAGGGCATGGTCTCTGTGGCTGAGGGTGGTGGTGGGTGGTCTGTGCGCGTGCGCGGCTTGGATGCTGCTGGCCACGGTGCGAATCGGAATGTGAGCTGGGTTGGCATGCATGCGCCCGTTACAGTGGAGGTGCGTGTTTGGGTGTCGTCATGCTTGCTGGCGCCGCCTGGGTGCGGTGGCTCTTCTGGTCGCACGCGTCCAGATCCTGCTGCTGCGCTTCTGCTCTCTTCTTCAAAGCGACGTTGGACAAATCTGGCCGCTGCTTTCGGGGGAACTCCTCGCAGGCAGAGAAGGGCTCGGTGCGGGGCCGGGCAACGGCTGGCTGGCGTGGGGTGATGGCCGGCGCCGCGGTCTGTGCAGGCTGGCTGTCGCACCAGGCGCTGAAACGGGGCGGGCTCAACTCAGACAGGCCTGGTGAAACGTGGCGCCCGGATTGCGCTTGCAATCGGTTTCGGCCGTTCCGGGTGTTTCTATTGTCGGCGCCCGGCTCTCGTCCGCGCCAGCGAGTGGATCCATTCCAAATCGAAGGCGCGCAGCCAGGCCGCGGGCCCATCACTCGACGTGCGATCCGCCAGGTGCCACTCTCGCGAAGGGGTGCGCGCGTGTGTGTGTGTCATCAAATGGAAGGGGGGCCGCCCTATCCCAGCAGATGAGGGTTTTCGCCGCCCACGGCACATCTGCGAAAAGGGAAGGCCTGCTGCAACCGTAGTGTCAGGGCCCGCCCGCCACCGACCAGAACAGCGGCGGCGGCGGCGAATCTGCCGAGGGTGTATGTCAGGCCGGCCGTGAGATACAATACGTAGCAGCGGGGCAAGAAGTCGCGGCCCGATCCCATGCTCGCTCGCTCGGCAGCGCGGCAGATCGAGCATCGCTCCTGCGAATCCCAGGGCAGCTCGAAAGCCGGGCGGCTGGGCTGGGCTGGCCGCTGGACGCGAGACCGAGGTGAATCCTCCTCCTCCTCCTCCTCGAAGGAATGGATCAGGCGGCCGACGACGACAGGCTCGGCCTCATATCCTATGGCTGCGAGCAGCAGCAGCAGCGGAGACTTCGGCGGCCTTATGCGAACGGTGTTCTCACTCACTTCTGGCGCCCATCCCTCGGGGGCGTTACACCCGCCCGGATCGCGATTGCAGCCCCCGGGAACGAAGGACGCTCAAAGCACCTGGCTGCTGCTGCCGGTGCTGGCCAGATGCGATGGCCGGCACGCACAGCACTCGTGATGCACATGCATACGCCATACGCACGTGTACAGTACATCCTCGGCGCGCAACGGCCTTGACCCGCAGCTTTGACCGCCGCCAGCCGGCCAATTTTTTTAGTGCACGATCTTACCCGCCACGATCGCTTCAACCGTCCGCAACGGCGCAACGACGAGGCGCGCAGACGAGCCCGTGTTTTCAGCTTCGACTAAGCCATGACTGACGAGAGACGGGGCGCGACCGTTTCTGGGCGCGGCCAGCGAGTGTCAGTGTAACTGACACTATGTTTCGCAGCAGATAATGTGTGCCCGGAAGGCAGGTAACTGCGTTACGACGCCCCGCCCCCGCGCGAGCGCATGTCGCTCGCTGCGTCGCAGCTGGCTGGCTGGCTAATATTGCTGGGTACTGTAGCTAGCTGCAGCACGGCGCCAAGCACGCCGACCGCGCTCGGAGCATTGGTGCCGCGGCAATTATTTCCCTGCAGAGCTACAGTTTCCTCGCGCGCAGCAGCGTTGGCTGGCCTATCCTTCGATCGAGGAGCGACTGTGCCGTAGCCTTTTCATGCCATGGAGAAGACCGCCGCCACCGCGGCGAGCTGCGCTGGCGCAGAGAATTCGGAAGTTGCCGTTGCTGTTGGATTTGCTTGGGGGCAGTCACGCCGCAGCTGCGATGAGCCACCATGATTCGAAGATTCGTCTGCGGTGGACAGGTGGACAGTCCATCTCGCACGTGGAGGACACAAATTGTGTGTGGCCGCTGATATTACAGCGATGTATCATCCTCGTCGACAGTTGTGAGAGACCGCAGCAGCTGGGCTCCTCCTTGCCCGGTCGCGATGCCGCGGCCGTCCTAACTTACGGAGCATGTGAAGTTGTCGTCGAATGACAGCGGTGGCGCAGAGCTTAACGAGGAGCGGTCGTTCCACTGGATGCAAGCATGTCAACGCGCAACGTGTCGCGGGCTGAACTTCCCAATGCGCTGCTGCTGGATAGATGCAGCAGCGAGGCCGGCCGGCTACATGCTGATCAGTCCGTGGCTGGGGCTGCCTCATCGCATACTGTTGCATACGGACGCTGCCAGTGTGCCCAACTTTCAAGTGGTCATCATCATTGCCTGGGGAATAGGACAAGACTGGGTTGCAGGTGGATTTTTGCCTAAGCTTAGCTTCATCTCTGGCGATCCCGTTGCGCCTCGCAGAACGCTGCAATACCGCATTTCGCATGTAGAGCGCTACAGCGGTTTAAGAGATACACCTTTATTTTAACCAATCAGAGATGCGAGAGAAAAGTCCGTGGGATCGCATGTAGAGAGATACACCCCTAATTTGAGTATTTTGCGCATTTTTGCATTCACATTGAGTCACCAGTTCCAAGCGCGCGAAGGCAGAGGGGAAGAGCTGCGCACCGCTCGTCAACGTCGCGCTGCCCCCCTCCCCGCGCGCTTGGAGGCATACGCCTCGTCGGAGTGATAGTTAGTAGCCACGCCTGGTGTGGGCCCAGTTGAGGCGCGCCTGAGTGCGGGATATGGGGAGCACGAGGTTAAACCACCGCGTAAGCTCGAGAGAGCGCACAACACGGCTGCTGCAGCGATGGTAGTAGAAGAAGCAACGCTGTAGATAATTGGTTAAGTGGTGTGGTTCCTGTGCAACATAGTTGTAGATGGCGCACAGACTTGTTGCTAGCTTAAGCGCCATCCTAGAGGAGATCGTTCCGCGCCATCCGCATGACAAGGCCAACCATCTTGCCCATTTTGCGTACGAAATGATCGCGTGACCCAGTTTTTGGGTTTTACATTGTTTTTAGGCTCGAGTGCAGTAACTAACCTAAACCTATGACATGGGGTGTGTTTCTCTACATGCGAAATGCGGTAGGCATAGAGCGCCCGTGCGTTGCACCCTGCGCTGCGAGTTCGCATTTAGCTCGCGGAAGGAAAGGTTGCCGCCGGGTAACTGAAAGCACTTGAAGCATCCCTGGTTCAACCAGGTCACGGGCTGCGCAAGACGTTGGCCAGTGCACGCGTGGCGGGTGAAAGCCGAACCAAGTAGTGGCAAGCATGGAGCTGGTACAGTATCCGATAGTGTAGCTGCTCGTCACACGTGGCCTCCCCTGGTGAGACTCTGGTCGTCCATACGGCGGCATCATGTGCTTGAATGCCAGGCCAAGTGTGTGGCCGTCAAGCGTCTCACGTCGGCAGACCAGCGCAGATATCTTGACAGCAAAGAGCAGGCCCACGACCGATGGCTGCGTCGATCCGCAGCTTGCTGAATTGCCGACATAAAGACTGCCGGTAGGTACCGACTAAGTATCTACCATCCCGTCTTGGTCAGTCGACTCACTGCACTCTCCAGTCCTTCAGCAGCAAAGGGTCTTGCTCACACTCCATTGCCCTGACGGTCCTTGTCCTTTGGTCCTCGTTTGGGAGTGCCGATCGCTCGGACGGCTCGAATCTAGGGTGACTCCACGGGCCCAGCTGGTGTCAGGGCTGGTCCACATAAAACGGTTTCAAAGCCACCAACGCAGAAACATCTTGCCTTTTGTATTGGCCTATCCCCATCCCTTGCAATAGTAGGACACATGTCGCAGGTGTCGCCGCCTCGCCGTCCGGCCGAAATCGCCCCTTTACTTGTCATGGATCAGTTAGAATGAGGCACTTTCAGCAGAACGCCAACTTCCACTTGCGGTGGCCCACATCACCGCTCCCATACTGAAACCAAGCTGTTTCGCGCATCAAAATTTGAGCCCACCTTCCATGCCGTCCGTTGCAAGTTGCTCGGGACAACTTCATTCCTGCATCCTCCCTCCCCTCCCCGAGTCGATCCTCCTCCTCCTCTCGTTGCCATCGCGGCCATGAATTCCGCTCTGCGTCGCGCGCGCCCCACCATGACGGGCCTGACGCGCCAGCTACACGGCCTGGCGTCCTCGGCGCCTCCTGCTGCCGCCGCCGCCGCCTCCTCTTCGATCCCGGGCCAGCGCCGCAAGAGCACAGCTGCCGAGAGCGCGGCTGCCATTACGCAGGCCGAGGCCACGCGCGGCCCGCGCTGCAGCCCCGGCCTCGTGGTGTTCGACAAGGACGGCACGCTCATCGACTTCACGCTCATGTGGGGCGGCTGGGTCGAGTCGCAAGCCTGGAAGGTCGAGATGACCACGGGGCTGCCCGTGCGCGAGAAGCTCTTCGCCGCCATGGGCTACGATTGGATCAGCCGCTCCATCAAGTCCAAGGGCGCGCTGTGCTGCACGCCCATGGGCGAACTCTACAAGCTCGCGGTGCGCGTGCTGGTGGCCGAGGGCATGCGCCAGTCCAAGGCCGACGAGGTCATCAAGCAGTGCTGGAGCATGCCCGACCCCGTGCTCACGAGCCGGCCACTCGCCAACATCCCGGCGCTCTTCCGCACCATCAAGAAAATGGACATGAAGATCGCCGTGTGCACCACGGACGACCGCCAGCCCACGATCGACACGCTCGAGCACTTGGGCGTCACCGACATGGTGGACGCGCTCGCCTGCGGCGACGACGGCCTGCCCGCCAAGCCCGCGGGCGAGCAGATCTGGACCATCTGCCAGCAGCTCGGGGTCGCGCCGCACGATACCATCATGGTCGGAGACACCTCCACTGACATGCTGCTCGGCAAGAACGCCGGCTGCGGACTGTCCATCGGCGTGCTGGGCGGCGCGTCGTCGCTCGACGACTTGGCAGAAGACGCCGACTTGCTCGTACCCTCTATCGACCGCATCATCAAGGTGCTGTTCCAGTACGGCCAGCAGGCCAAGCGCTTTGGCGATGCCAAGTGAAGCGAAAATCTCTAGAGCCCTCTTAGTATTAGTCAGAAATGACGGGAAAGATTCCCAATAAATACCCGCTTAGCTGTCTACGAACACTGCCTGCATCTACTAGCTAGGGCAGCGCTACAAGGACGACGGCCATGTTGTCGAGACTTCCGCGGACGTAGCCCTCTGTGAGCAATTCAGCGGCAAGATCGTTCAGCGGCGACCGATCGAGGGTAGCTCCTGCTGACGCACTCGACCTCTTTTCCGCGAGAAACCGCACCACGTCATCATTGCTCATAGTCTCCCACACTCCGTCACTGGCGACGACAAGAACTCCGCCGGAGGACCACTCGCCCAGCTTTGCGTGGAAGACGGAGGGCTCCGCCGTCACGTACTTGCGCAAATGGCGATCGCCCAGGCTGCGGGACACTGCAAGCTGCCCAACCACTCGCCAGAGACCGGAAAAGCTCACAACCCCCCCGCTAGACTCAATGCGCGAGCGCTCGGTTGGATCATTCGGCCAGTGATCCATGGTCAGCGGCACTACGTCGGCTGTAGGTGCGGGGCTCATGCGACAGTCATTTACTTTCGTGGACACACCTGGCAGCCACGCTAGCGCACGTGAATCACCAACATTTGCGCTAACAACGCGTTGCTCACGTCGAAAATGAAGCACCACAGTCAACGTGCACCCCGAGAAATACTCGCCGACTGCTGCAGTCCCGTTGGTGAACGTGCCATCATTCGTTTCTGGCTGTAGGTTGCTGTCGCGAGCCACTTCATCGAGAGACTGGAGGAAACGTTCGTGCAGCTCCAGGAAGGTCTGACGCAGCGCGAACTTTTCGGCCAGCTCGCGCTCAGCAGATGCGCCCGCAGCTTGATCAGCATCCGTGGGCACCGAGTCCTCCTTAGATTTGGGGATTGCAGCAAAATGCCGGTACAAGACGCGAGGTAGGTTCTCGACGACGAATGTAGCTGCTGCTGAGCCCAAGTGGCCATCCACCACTGCATACAGGTCAAACCCAAGAGGTTGAGACGATTTGAGGTCGTCTCGTTCGGAGTGGCATCTCCGGTGAAGCTGCTGCTCTGTGAGCACCAAGATAAAATCCTCCATGTACTTCTTCCGGCCTTGGAACAACGCAACGCCCACTGCCGGGTGTTCTGGTGCCAGTGACCCGACGTACACGGGTTGCGACTCGGTCTGTATAGCGGAAGAGATCAGGGGGGCTTCAAATGCGCAGAAGCTGGAGTTGGCGTCATGTCGGCGTGCGTGGACATGCTGTTCGCAGCTTTGGGCTGTGGAAAACGCCCGGCCGCACTGTGGGCAAGTGAAGCGGTCAGGTAACTCGTACTTGGCACGGACAACAGAAGCGAAAATGCTTTCGCGCGCGCGTTGTGCCTCGAGGTAGCGCTCATGCAGTAGCAGCTCTTGATGCGTAGCGAACCGGCGACTAGACTCCTTGCACACGTATGGCCCGCGGAAGTACGCGTGCTGCAAGGCGTCTTCAGCTGAAATTCGTCCGGACGGATGCCACTGAAGCAGGCGCCACATCAAGTCTAACCCCCACGAGTCCTCGAGCCCGCGCTTCAGCGGATCACGGTCCACCACCGTTTGGTTGAACCGTCCGAAGTGGCAGCTCTCGCTCACGAGAGCGTATTTGTCCCACAACGAGCGTAGCTGCCGCGGTGCTGGCTGGAAGATGCAGAACTCCTGGGTCAGCACGTGCAACAAATAAGCCTTGGTCCGCCATCCAGACTCAGCGTCCTCGTCCTCGTTGTGTCTTCCATGTCGGTGTCGACGGCGACGCCGCTGAGCATCAAGCACCACGTCCAGCTTGGCTCGTTCGCGAGGCGAGATCAAAAACACTTGCGGGGAGCCCAGGACCATCTCCAAGAAGACGACTCCAACGGACCAGAGGTCATACGCCTCGGGGGCTGTATAATCGTACGGCTGGCCATTGTCGCTAAAGAGCACCTCAGGAGGCTGGTACTCGCGAGTTTCTTCAGCTTGAGATGGTCCGCTAGAAGCCGTCGTCGAGTCATCGCTACCGCCTCCCGCGGCGTATAAGTTCTGTAGCGTGTAGTCATCAACAGCTGAACCAAAGTCTGCCAGCTTGACGCGCGGCATCGGTGGCAACGTAGTGCCTGTCGATGCGGGCGGGATCGACACGAGGATGTTCGACGGCTTGATGTCACGGTGAGTGATTCCACGCGCGTGCAAGGCTGCCACAGCCTGGAGCAATTGGCGCATGATCTCTCTCAACACGTTTTCGCCGCGAGCATCGGTGCGGAGTTTCTCCCAAAAGTGCGATGGCTGCAGCACAACTCCAGCCCCGGCGTCCCCATGTTCGTCTGCCCCGTACACAACCTCCAGCTTCTCGTACAGATACTGCCGCAGGGACTTCCCCTCGTCGTAGAAGACCAGCCACAGCTCTGGCGTCGTGCGATGGTCGTCCTCGCTCTCCACCGGTTGGGCCGGTCGGAAGAAATATTCCACGAACCGCGCGACGTGGTGCTCGCCCTGTAACAACGCTCCGAAATGCGCCTCGCGGAGCCCCATCTGCGCCATGCTCTCGCCAAGCTCGAGGAACAGCCTCTTCAGTACGAAATGCTCCTCTCGTCCACTGGTCTCGTGTCGTCGCGTAGCTCGCCACACTTCCCCGTGAGAACCGGCGTCGAACTTCTTCTTGAGGCGGTAGTGGGCGTTCACGTAGATCCGTTCAGCCTCCTCCGTCACGTATTGATACTCGAGCACGGGTCCTTCGGGGCTGATGCGGTTGCCCTCCTCGAACGGGTCCTCACTGCTGTGTGTGGACTCTGGCGACGGCAGCGGCGGGGCGGGGGCGCGTCGTGAGGTGGACGCAGCTCCGGGCAGCGGACACACTGGCGCCGATCGCGGGTGTTGGATCTCTCCGTCGCTCGGCGCCGTGCTCCACGGCACGATCTCCATCCTGACTCTCGTCTGCATGGGCCACTGAGTCTGCTGCGTCTGCTGGTGCTTGCACACGCCCAGCAGACCCGAACGCTCCACTAGCTCATAGCCTTCGACGGTCAGGCCGGGCCGCAGCGGGTCACTCACTGCCACGCAGGCCGTGGCGTCGTCGGCCACGCGGCGAGGCACGCGCGCCACTTGGCTGAACCACGCGCGGTCCGTCAGCAGCTTGCGCGAGGTGACATCGGCCACGGGCACTTCCAGGGCCAGAGCCGCAGACTGAAGCAGCAGCAAGAGCAGCAGCAGCAGCTCGGCCATGCCGGAGGTTTCGTCGCAAATCTCGGTGTGCGATAGATCGAAGAGGGGAAAACAGGTCAATCCTAACAGTTGGTCACGGGTATGATGGTCAAATAGGTCACACATCAGGACGCTAGGTCACGTGACCAAACTTAACAGGTCATGTAGACGGTAAGATGCGCGCACGCCCGCGAGAGAATGAGAGCAAAATGCATATGCAGCTTCGAAGCGGACGAGGGCCCACTTCTCTTCAGCCTGAAGAATTCAGACATCATACAAGTTTTCTCAGTGCACACGACACCTCCCTCAATGCTTTCGTACACTGTCAGCGCGGTTTCCTACAGGACACGACGTGCTGCTTGCTGCTGTGTTACAGTATAAGCTGGCTAAGTGCTGCACTGTGGGCTGCCTATCATCTTGCACAGCGTGCTTGCTACTAGTAAAAGTACCATGTTGCGCTGCAAGTCCTTACCATGCTAAAATGTGTGCTTCCTACCAAGAGACCGCCTACCATGCATGTTGCACGGGCAGTAGTTACATTGCTAAACAGTGAGCTGCTACCACGCGTGTGTGATGCTCGTAGTATGAGCGCAGATCGCAATACCCTAGATAGAGGAGGCGGTGCTTGCAGAAGAAGAAAAAGTTGATTAACTAGATAGTGGACATGCGGTTTCGCTAGCTACGGTAAGTTATGGTAATATCCACTTGGACAACTCAATTATGGCCGCGGAATCCAAATTCGACAACCCTGTTGGGGTAAACTAATTCTACCTACCATGTTGCAGTACGAGCACCGTACAAAGTCACCAACCCGTGCTTACGGGACTCCGCTCGCATTCAGCGCTTGAGCTCATGGACTCAGCGTCACGTAGCGTTATCTCGACCTAGCCTTCAGTCTTGCTCGACGTGTGGGGCCCCGTAACCTCGCTCGAGGTCGAAGTCGAGTACCCCGCCGCCCGCGGCTCTCGTTAAAGCAACGGCAAGACTAGCAACTTCAGCAACGTCAGGCCTAGCAACTTCGGCAACTTCAGGATGAACCACTGGATGATAAATGGCCTAGCAACTTCAGGTACGTCGCGGTTGTAGCATATGTAGGATAAGCAACGCCAAGCAACGGCAGGTCGAGCAACGTCAAGCAACGGCGCCAGCGATGAGAGTGATTCAGCAATTTTCTGACACTGGCTCAGTCAAACATTTCTACGCAAATCAAGTCTCGGCACTTCACGTACATCATCTTCAATGCCGCAAGGACGTATTATCTAGGCCAGGCATGTTATGTTAAATAATTGTGTTGTCAAGTGAAGATGAATTCGTGTATGTCATGCTTAGAGTTCTTGCTCTAGTGTTCGTATCCTATCAAACCATCGCTTCAGTTCGAGTTGTAGCTGAATAGTACGCGCTGATGCGTTTGTTGATATCTCCCAGCCTACTCCAGAGTGTAGGGTCATCCCCAGCTTGTTGAACGTCGTCGCAATTGCAGAAAATCTCCCACATAATGAGTAGCCTCATCACTTCTACGTCTTTAGCACTCAAAATGCGCTTGCCTTGTAGGAGTTTCCCGCCATTTAGAAAACTGCATGCTTGAGCAAGACAGAATACACCGCAGCTAGCCGCATCGCTCTGGACTGGGTATTTCAACCACTCCATGCTCACTGTTGGTGAGTAGGTTGACGCTGGACTTTTGTTGTTGTCTGCCAAGTTGCACAACGATGCAGCACCGAACTCGCGATTTTCAGCTACATCGGCTCTTTTTGAGCGCATACAATCTCTGGTGACCCAGCTTTGCAGGAGAGGCAGTCCATATTGATCCCAGGTGTCTTCTAGCAGACCAAGGTTGACTTGTGTTCCTAGTGGATCGTACAGCAACACTCTGACATGCCGTGGTGGGATTTGAACATGCTCACCCACTGGATACAGCTCCACAATTTCGAGAATCCAATGCTTAATCGAGGTCTGATAGATTGGAAGAACGATATTTCTGTATCTCGACAGAGGTTGGTTGGGCAGTTTGAAATCTTTGTTGCGCACATTTACCGGGTCGACCGCAAAACACTTCGCGATTTTTGCGCAGAAATTTTAAAAAGCACAGTACATCACAACATCGTTGAGCCTTGCTGTACCAGCGAGAAAGCCGAGGACTTCACGGAGATCAAATTCACCACCCATTCCAGCGATTCCAGGTGCGAACCTAAACTTCCGACTTCGCCACGATTCGGCAACGATTCTAGATACCTCACTCGCCGTGTTCTTCACAGACCCCGAAGTATCAGCTGACAAACACCATCCACTACACCTTTGCCAATCCAAGTTGGCAGTACTGTAAGGCAAAGCCGAGAGTCCCGTAAATACGAAAAATATTTTTTTCAAAAATTTATTTTCGAGGATTAGTACAGACCAATGTGGATTTAGTCCACAGCAAACATCTAAGTTCCATACTCCATGGGCTCGCTACGAATAGCAGCGGCGACAGACCTTGCGTCCGCTTACAGTACAGGTTGTACAGTAGTAGTTGGTCTCGTCATAATACACGATAAAAGCACCGTTCCGCTCATGCTTCAGCAACGCTTCACCAAACACCCTCCTCTTCTCGATATTTACAGCATTATTGCAGGTCTCGGGCTCTACGCGAACCTATCACAGGGAACATACTTAGTACAGTACAGATGGTAAAAGTGATAGCATAATAACTTGCTTAACAGTGTAAAGCTTATCGCAAAGCTTCTTACTGATCAACGAAGTGCTGACCTGCACCCTGAAGTCGAACGCAAGCATTTCCTGCATCTGCACGAGTGTGTACTGGCAGTTGTCTTCCAGGTAGCACATGAGAGCTTCCTCCATTTCTGGAGTACACTTCGTGCACGCCGCCCGCGCGCCGCCTCTCTTCTTGACATCAGCGGCTTGGCACTGGACGATGTTGCGGGCAGTAGTGGGAGGGATGCAGTTGTAGTCGGCAACCAGCACCCAGTCACGCCCTTCTCGGTGTGCGATGCACACCGAGAAGGGCCGCAAGCCCATGCTTCTGCTCTTGGGGCATGTTGCCGGTGGAGACAGTCTGTTACTGACCAGTGATTTGAGTTTGCTCTGCACTAAATCCACATTGCTCTAAATACTAATTTCAGAAATTATTTTCCGATTTTTGGATGTTACTAAGTTACTTCACACCGTTTTGCTTTACACTGCTGCCAACTTGGATTGGCAAAGGTGTAGAAGAGTAGCTGGACCAGTCGTTCTGTATCCATGCCATGTCTTGTTTGTAAACATCGACCTTGTCTCGGCACATGTAAATATTTCCGACGATCTCGGTGTATTTCCTGTTAATTAAAAAAAAAACAGTGTGTGATCAATGTTCCCCATCATTATCGCGGGCAATATTACTTACATTGAGAAGCCGCATACCTTGCACCCGATGAATGCTACTGGGATCAGATCTTCTTCATTTTCTACGTTCTCCATGTAGTTGTTCTCTGTGACGGGGTCACACAGCACAATGAACAGAGGAAGTGCGTGCGGATATTACTATCCAGGTGAACAGCAGTTCACCAGTTCCCGGCCTCAAAGGGAACGGTTTGCTACAAAGGAGTAGGTTATAAGACTGACTGTAGGTTAACTTGGTCGTAATACAAACTACAAGTTAACTATACAAAAGCCCGCGCAAACTCAAATGGTTGGCTTGCGGAGCTACTGGTACCATGTACCATGTACTCGGGAGAGTGACACCCGTCACTCTTCATGTAATGGGTACACTTGATTGTACCCCGTTACATTCTCTCTTGTCCACCAAGATTTTAAGCGGGACGAGGAAGTTGTGCACGAACGTTCCAGGAATTGCGACTGTGCTCTGCACCTGGCGGACTCGCTTCTCAATAAATTTTTCCTTGAGACGCACAGGAAGCCGATTAATAATCTCATGAACTCGGGTCATGTCGGGATATGTCCGCGCCCAGAACAAAACATCTTCAAGGCTGATTGGGCAATCGCAGGAAACGTCGAGAATTCCGTGTCTGGCACTGCTTTCTCCTACGCAGCGTGACAGCGCATTTGCAGAATGTTCAGCAGATTTGGGTAAAGCAAGAGTGTCTACACCACACGCTTGATCGCTACTACCGCGAATCCTCTTCGTGGATAGGTTGTATCTCTTCGCCGTCGCAGATTGACCTGCGGGGGGTCGTCTCTATCAGAACGGTTTTCTTGCTCATACTCGACTTGGGTTGGCTCTATCATTTCGTCTTCGATAGAATCGACTGCAGGTCTACTTTCAGGGCAAATCCCAGGTATAGGCGAGTCGTCGTCCCGAAGCTCGACTTCTAACGGGGTTAAATACCATTCAGAACGCACAGGTGGTAGGTCATTATCTTCACATCTGAAAATCTCACGATCCAGGCTTACAATATTGCTGGGCTCTGATTCGAAGTCGGTATCATCGTCATTTATGGGCTCGTTCAGATTCATTTCCCATTTCTTCGTAAAATCACTGGGAATTGTTCTTAGATCCGCGAAGCGCTCGTAAAAACGATGGGAGGGCAATTGTTGCATGGCGGTCAGCAGTGGGAAAAACTCTGCTTGAATAATATTGTATTTTTCGCAGCCAGAGAACGGCTTGTTCACACTTCTCCCCCCGTTTCAGCTTCACATATCCAATACACCGTCGTACCACACCAACATTAAGACTCAATCCTGGATCTTTAGCTGTACAACCGCGAATATCACGAACTAGAGTCAAACTTTTGAGGGTCACCTGTAGCGATACTATCAGAGACGACGCATCTGGCATCGACCAACGTTTTGGCAGCAGCGTGTTCCCGAATTCAGGGAGGTTCATCGCCACCAAAAATATGCTGACATGGTAGCTTTGTCGACACATTGAACAGACAATCACAACGTGGCTCTGACCCAGTTTTCCAATAACTTCGATTCCTCGGCCACTCTCTGTTACCAACTTGAATATATCTCCCCCTTCGTGCGATGAGTGAGTCCATTCCCACGTGTCGCCGTAGACCACACTGTAGTCCCATTGGAGTTTT